GAAGGGGGGTCTAAGAAGGGAGGTCTAAGAAGGGAGGTCTAAGAAGGGAGGTCTAAGAAGGGAGGTCTAAGAAGGGAGGTCTAAGAAGGGAGGTCTAAGAAGGGAGGTCTAAGAAGGGGGGTCTAAGAAGCGGGGTCTAAGAGGGGAGGTCTAAGAAGGGGGGTCTAAGAAGGGAGGTCTAAGAAGGGAGGTCTAAGAAGGGGGGTCTAAGAAGGGAGGTCTAAGAAGGGGGGTCTAAGAAGGGAGGTCTAAGAAGGGAGGTCTAAGAAGGGAGGTCTAAGAAGGGAGGTTAAGAAGGGAGGTCTAAGAAGGGGGGTCTAAGAAGCGGGGTCTAAGAAGGGAGGTCTAAGAAGGGGGGTCTAAGAAGGGAGGTCTAAGAAGGGAGGTCTAAGAAGGGAGGTCTAAGAAGAGAGGTCTAAGAAGGGAGGTCTAAGAAGGGAGGTCTAAGAAGCGGGGTCTAAGAAGGGAGGTCTAAGAAGGGGGGTCTAAGAAGGGGGGTCTAAGAAGGGGGGTCTCAGAAGGGGGGTCTAAGAAGGGGGTCTAAGAAGGGAGGTCTAAGAAGGGAGGTCTAAGAAGGGAGGTCTAAGAAGGGAGGTCTAAGAAGGGGGGTCTAAGAAGCGGGGTCTAAGAAGCGGGGTCTAAGAAGGGAGGTCTAAGAAGGGAGGTCTAAGAAGGGGGGTCTAAGAAGGGAGGTCTAAGAAGGGAGGTCTAAGAAGGGAGGTCTAAGAAGAGAGGTCTAAGAAGGGAGGTCTAAGAAGGGGGGTCTAAGAAGCGGGGTCTAAGAAGGGAGGTCTAAGAAGGGGGGTCTAAGAAGGGGGGTCTAAGAAGGGGGGTCTAAGAAGGGGGGTCTAAGAAAGGGGGTCTAAGAAAGGGGGTCTAAGAAGGGGGGTCAAAGAAGGGGGGTCTAAGAAGGGGGGTCCCAGAAGGGGGGTCTAAGAAGGGAGGTCTAAGAAGGGAGGTCTAAGAAGGGAGGTCTAAGAAGGGAGGTCTAAGAAGGGAGGTCTAAGAAGGGAGGTCTAAGAAGGGAGGTTAAGAAGGGAGGTCTAAGAAGGGGGGTCTAAGAAGGGAGGTCTAAGAAGGGGGGTCTAAGAAGGGAGGTCTAAGAAGGGAGGTCTAAGAAGGGAGGTCTAAGAAGAGAGATCTAAGAAGGGAGGTCTAAGAAGGGGGGTCTAAGAAGGGGGGTCTAAGAAGCGGGGTCTAAGAAGGGAGGTCTAAGAAGGGGGGTCTAAGAAGGGGGGTCTAAGAAGGGGGGTCTCAGAAGGGGGGTCTAAGAAGGGGGGTCTAAGAAGGGAGGTCTAAGAAGGGAGGTCTAAGAAGGGAGGTCTAAGAAGGGAGGTCTAAGAAGGGGGGTCTAAGAAGCGGGGTCTAAGAAGCGGGGTCTAAGAAGGGAGGTCTAAGAAGGGAGGTCTAAGAAGGGGGGTCTAAGAAGGGAGGTCTAAGAAGGGAGGTCTAAGAAGGGAGGTCTAAGCAGAGAGGTCTAAGAAGGGAGGTCTAAGAAGGGGGGTCTAAGAAGCGGGGTCTAAGAAGGGAGGTCTAAGAAGGGAGGTCTAAGAAGGGGGGTCTAAGTAGGGGGGTCTAAGAAGGGAGGTCTAAGAAGGGGGGTCTAAGAAGGGGGGTCTAAGAAGGGGGGTCTAAGAAGGGAGGTCTAAGAAGGGAGGTCTAAGAAGGGGGGTCTAAGAAGGGGGGTCTAAGAAGGGGGGTCTAAGAAGAGGGGTCTAATGGGTGGGTGAGAGGGAAGGGCCTGAGTCCCCTTGGGTTGGGTGGGTGAGAGGGAAGGGGGCTGAGTCCCCTTGGGTTGGGTGGGTGTATGAGGGGGGAGGGGGCTGAGACCTCTTGGGTGGGTGAGTTAAGTGAGGGGTAATGGTGAAGTTCTAAATCCCCCAGGGTAGTGGAGTGGGAGTGTTAGGAGAAAGAGGTGGTGAAATCCCAGGGTGAGGTGAGATAGGGGTGATTATGGGGACCTGAATCTCCAAGGGTAAGTGGAGTGAGAAGGAAGGGGTGAATTTTCTTGCGTGTGATGGGTGAGAAGGAAGGGGTGAATCCCCTTGGGTGGGATGGGTGAGAAGGAAAGGGAAAATCCCCTTGGGTGGGATGGGTGAGAAGGAAGGGGTGAATCCCCTTGGGTGGGATGGGTGAGAAGGAAGGGGTGAATCCCCTTGGGTGGGATGGGTGAGAAGGAAGGGGTGAATCCCCTTGGGTGGGATGGGTGAGAAGGAAGGGGTGAAAACCCTTGGGTGGGATGGGTGAGAAGGAAGGGGTGAATCCCCTTGGGTGGGATGGGTGAGAAGGAAGGGGTGAATCCCCTTGGGTGGGATGGGTGAGAAGGAAGGGGTGAATCCCCTTGGGTGGGATGGGTGAGAAGGAAGGGGTGAATCCCCTTGGGTGGGATGGGTGAGAAGGGGTGAAACCCCTTGGGTGGTTGAGAGATAATACGGATCTGAAATTCCATGGGTGGGTTGAGTGGAATGGCTGTGGAAAATATGGAGTCTGAGCTAGTGTGAGTGACTGTGTGTGAGTCTGTGTGTGAATGAGTGGATGTGTGTGGGCACCGAGTGTGAGTGTGACTGATTGTGAGTGGAAGTGTGCGAGTGAGTGTGATCGAGTGTGAGTGCAGGTAGTGAGCACAAGTGTTGTGTGTGTTTGAGTTTGAGTGTGTGTGTGTGTATAAGTGTGAGTGACTGCATCTGGCACAGGAGGATGACTTTGTAGTAAGTGATATGAGTGTGTTGGGGTGTGTGTTGAAGTGTGTGTGACTGTGACGCATGTATGGATGTGTGTGAATGTGTAGGTGAGAATGACATAGAGATGTGAGGGAGTGACCGATTGCGAGGCGAGGGATTAGTGTTTGTGGTGACTCTGTGTGCGTATGTATCTGGTCTGTGAATGCGTATCTGGCAGGTGAAAATGACATTGAGATGCTCCAGATGGTTGGTTTGGATGTGGCCATGGCAAATGCTGGCCCTTCAGTCAAGGCAGTGGCAGACCATGTGTCGAGCACAAACGACCATGATGGCTTGGCGGCTGCTGTGGAGAGATTTTCCCTCACTGCTGGACTCTGGTGCTGTGACAAATGTTACATGTTTATGTTGCAATATCGACGACTTGTTGGCGGAGTTGGCATGGGTACGATTGATGAGATGCTATTATGTAGCAAATCGTTTGAAGATGAGAGTTGCCAAATATCAATAATGGAAAGCACAGTATGACTTTTATTGTGGACTAATGGAAAATATGAAGAATCTTAATCTAGTAGGTAATTAAACCATTGAGTAAGAGCTCCTGAAGAGAAGACACTACATGTGATAAAATGTTTCATACTTCGTATCCTTCACGCCTAGAATGCTATTTTACCATCGCGTCCATCTGCAGTGCGTACTTGACCCACCCGCCTTCGGCAAGGTTGCTTCTGCGATGATTCGTAGAAGTACAGCACGATACTTCTCTCGGGACTGCCACAAGACGGGCACCAATTGCCCAACAAGGAATAGTGCATGTACTTGCTGAATGGTTTTCCAGCCCAAATCTCGTTGTGCACCAATCACAGTCTCGCTAGCCACGCCAGAAAATTTGAATTGTTACACCACAAGGGCTCCACGCGCTCGACAACGCGCACCGTCTTCTCTTGGTCTAGAAATTTACAAGATACAATGCGACGCGTATCGGGGTAACTTTTATAGTATCCCTATAGTTTTGAGCTGCCCCAATATATGAATTTATGATTTAGTTTGTTGGGAAAGGAGGGAATTGTTTCTCTTAGCTCATTGAAAGAACGTTTGTGGAGGGATAAAATGAGGTAGGGGAGTAGAACAGGGTGTGAAGTCAGCGAAATTCCGCTGTTCAAAGAATGGCCCCTTTCCAAGAATAGCCCCCCTCACGACGAGCCGCATCCCAGCGCGACGCGAACCCGTCAGCAGCCCGTCCTTGCGGGTTTCATCAAAGCACGTGGGCTCCACACCACAAACCACCCGTTCCGAAAGAGCTTGTGTGCGCCACTCCGCCCCGCCGTGGTTCTGCAGCACACGGGGGCGAACGCAGGCCTGCGGCACACGGAGCCAGGAAAGGCGTGCGGAGTAGCGGAGAAGAGCGATGCAAGTCCGCTCCGCACATCAAGCTTCCCGACGTGGGGATTTGCGAAGGAATTGTTTTGTCGCACACAGATTGGGGGGAATGGAGAGGGGATGACTTCCCGAAGCGCGTAGCGCACAGTACAGTAACACAACTTTCAAGGGCTGCCCAGCCCAAGAAAATACACGATTCGGTTTCGGTTGTCCGGGGTGGGGTGCGATTTGCATACCTTACGCCCACCCTTCGCCGTGGAATTCCTGTTCGCGCGAGTCCTGCAGCCCTTCCTCGATTCGTCTCTGCCTCCCATCTCGCTCTCAGCTTTCTCCGGAAGCTTGGAGTGTCATCTCGTGAGCCGTGCCCCACATCTGGTTTTTGATCCACTTTGACTGCCCCCGCTACCAAACCTCGCCGCACGATGCTCCCCGCACTCGCTCCAGCACAGCAGAGAAATCGTGCGCGCGGGACAGGAGGCGTGCAAAGGCCGCCATTTGACATGTTTCACCTCCAAAACCGGCCACTACCCGTCGTATGCACACGTATCGAGCTAGTAGCGTTAGTAGACCGCATTAGACTCTATCATACATCGCAAATCCTTCGCTTCTTCTCTTCACAAGAAGAACGCCTCCGACCAGAAAGTCCAAGTGTCGCAACGCATTCGCCAAGTCCCGCTATCGCCCAACGCCACTCCCCGCCCACGCCGGCGTTTCTCCACGGGCGAGCCGTGGCGACCGGCTTGCGATCGATCGCCTCGTCGTCGCTTCACGTCGCCATACCGCGGCGCATCAACTCGAATCCGTCAGGCGGCACGAATGATCGCCGCGGCACGCTAACGAATCCAGCCAGACCGTGTCGCACCGGCCTCCACATCTTGACATAAACCGTCGCGGCGCCGCGCCGGCCTCCACAAACTTGACATTGAACGCGCTGGCCCTGCCATGTTGCTGACGCTGTCAGCGTCGTCCATTCCGTCGGATTCCCTCGCTTCTCGCTCCGCTTCGCGACGCCCCTACTCGCTGCCGTTTCGCGCCCTTTCGCGCGCCGCAGCCCCAGGCAAGGAGGGGCCTTTCGCGGCATTCGCCCCCCGCACGTGCGCTATGACCGCCGCTGCGCCCATCGCAGACGATCTGCGCGCGCTGGACGGTGGCGCCCGCCTGGCGCCGCAAGACGCGGGGAAGAACTCCGCGAACTTGGCGGAGCGCAGGGATGAAGGCGCGCAACAATCTCGCGGGGAATGCTCGCACGCGGAGAAGCGGAAGCTGAGCGCCAGCGCCGATGCCGAATGCCGCATTGGCGGCGATGCGGCGGCGGCGCCGTCCGACGGAACGGAGAGCAAAGCCGACTCGACGAGATCCGCGGAACCTGCCGCGAAGAGACCCCGCGGGAGCGCCGATCACTGCGACAAACCGCCAGTGGCGCAGCTTGCGGAGACGAAAAGCCACGGTGGCGGCATCTCGCCGCCCCATGCTCTCTCTTCTCCGCCTGCCGCCGCGCCTCACCCTGCGCATGCGGCTGCTGCTGCGCACCAATCACCTGAACTCGCGCCCCGTCTCCCCTGGGCGGCGCCGCCCGTTGAATCGGCGGACGACGCCGCCGCCCACCCCGCTGCGGACGCCGCCGCCAAGTCGGGGGAGAGCGGAGGCGCGGGTTTAGAGGAAGAGGACGAGGCGGAGGGGGAAGAGGGCGAGGCGGAAGGCGAGGAGGCGGTTGGCGGAGTGACCGCCGCGGATGGCGGCGCGTGCGGCAAGAAGAAGCGGTACCGTTACAAGCGGCTGTCTAAAGCGGGTTACATTCCGGACGACGGGCAGCACTGGCACAAATACGGGCAGAAAAACCTCGTCGACGCGGGGTACTGCCGCGCGTACTACCGGTGCGCGCGGCGGAGCGCGGGGTGCGCGGCGAAGAAAACGATCGACTTCCCCATTCGGTGGGGGCTGGACATGCGCGTGACGTACAGCGGCCAGCACACGCACGGCCTGCCGCCCCGCCTGCAGCGCGAGGTCTTCACATACGCCACCACGCCCGCCCAGCTGCCGCCCAACATCTCCGTGCCGCCCAACGTGCTCGCTGCCGCGGCCGCCAATGCTGCTACAGCCGGTCCTGCTACAGCCGGCGCTGCTAGTACGGCCGGCGGTGCTACAGCCGGCGCTGCGACCTCCTCCGCCGCGTCTGCGGAATCCAATCCCGCCAGCGCCAGCCCGTCCCCCAACTCCCCTCCGCTCACTGCTTCCTCCGCCCCACCCGCTCCTGCTCCTGCTGCTCCTGTTGCTTCTGCTCCTGCTGCTTCTACTCACCCTGCTGCCTCTGCCCCTCCTGCTCTCAGCTCACCTGGTATGAGCGGCGCTGGTAACCGTGTAACGGGTAACACAGCGCAGGCATGCAGCCCTGCTCACCACGGGCAGTCACAGCCGACCCAGACGCCGCCTCGGTTCCTCTCCCCACAGCAACCACAGCAACCGCAGCAACAGCAGCAGCAGCAGCAGCAGCATCAACAGAACCAGCAAGCAGTACAGGGATACCGCTTCAGTCCCACAACGCAACAAACCATGCCACCCAGCCCAGGCCTGGCCTCCCCTGCGCCCTCCTCGTCCTCCCTCCTATCCTCCTCCCCCTCCCTCCTGACTCTGCCGCCCGCCCACCGCCCCTCTCCCGGCGGTGCTGCCGCGGCTGCGGCTGCTGCTGTTGCTAATAATAGCAATTCTTTCATGAATCAGCCACAAGAGCCGCAGCAACGACAGCAACAGCAGCAATGGCAACCACAGCAGCAGCAACAGCAGCAGCAGCCGCAGCAGCAGCAGAAGCAGTTCACGGAATCACCTGCTCAGCCCTCCCCATCCCACCCTCCAGGGAACTTCATGCTGCCGCCACCCGCCTTTGCACCCAGCAGCCGTGCAAGCAACCCGGAGCCTTCTAAGCCAGTCGCTGCGTCAACCTTCCGCCCCTTGACCGCCTCCTCCTCCTTCCAACGCTACCCTCCCGCTCCTCCCGCTTCCGCTCCTGCCGCTGCTGCCATCCAATCTGCTTCTCCTTCTGCTGCTCCTTCTGCTGCACCTGGCGCTGCGGCTGCTTCACCTGCTGCTTACTCTGCTGCGCCTGCTGCGCCTATGGATTCCCAGCGCCCACCCATGCCGCCCCCGCACGCCGTCAACCCGCCCCAATACATGCAGATGCCGCCCCAAAGCATGTCAATGCCGCCCCAAAACATGCCCATGCCGCCCCAAAACATGCCCATGCCATCTCAGGCATCACCCGTCCCTCCCAGCTGCACCTGCCCCGTCCACCACCACCAACCCCAGCAGCAGCAGCAGCAACCCCAGCAGCAGCAGCAGCAGCAGCAGCAGCAGCAGCAGCAGCAGCAGCCACAGCAGCATCACTACCAGCCCCACCCCCATCCTCCCCCCTCCGCCTTCGCCCCTCCGCCCGCACCTGCGCCCGCCGCCCCCCCTGCTGCAGTGCCCGCGCCTTACGGTGGCGCTGGAGGGTGCACTGGCGGATCGCAGATAGCGGTGCACTACCAGCCGAACACGCTGACTCAGCAAGGAGTTGTGAGTCAGCAAGGGGTGGTGATGAGTCAGCAAGGGGTGGTGGTGAGTCAGCAAGCTTCAGCAGGACAGCAGTCCCTCGCACCCCCATCTCCCCTTCTCCGCCTGCCCTCCTCACTGCAAGCACCCCCCTCTACTCACACCAGCAGCCCCGCCTATTCCTTCTCCACGCCTCCCTACGCCTCCTCCTCCACCTCCTCCACCCACACTCTCTCCCTCTCCCCCCCCTGCGCCCCTCCCCCGCACCTCCCCCTGTGCGCCGCCATCTCTCCCTCCCCCGTCCAGTCCAAGCGCCCGCCCATGCTGCAGGCCTCCCTGCAGCAACAGCCGCCCCAGCAGCAGCAGCAGGCGTCGCCGTCACCGCTACAACCGCAAGCGCTACAGCCAGGGTCGCTACAGCTACCGCCGTCCACATCGCCAGTGCAGCAGTGCACACCTTCCCCTCACCTGCAGCAGGGCGCACAGCCCACGTGGTCTGCTGTGCCGCCTGCAGGGGTAACTTGCTCGCCTGGCCAGCCGTGCACAGTCCACCCGCCTGCCATGCCGCCTGCCATGCCGCCTGCCATGCCGCCTGCCATGCCGCCTGCTGCTCCGTGCCTGCAACACACTGCTACGCCCTGTTGTTGCCCACATGCCTCCCTGCCCTGCCAGCAGCAGCAGCACCAGTGGCAACAACAGCAGCAACAGTGGCAGTACCAACAACAGCAGCAGCCGCAGCAGCAGCAGCAGCAGCAGTGGCAGCAGCAGCAGCAGCAGCAGTAGCCGCAGCAGCAGCAGCAGCAGCCGCAGCAGCAACAGCAGCAGCAGCAGCAGCAACAGCAGCAGCAGTGGCAGCAGCAGCAGCAGCAACAGCAGCAGCAGCAACAACAGCAGCAGCAACAGTGGCAGCAACAGCAGCAGCAGCAGCAGCAACAGCAAGTGTGCTCGCATGCTGTTCCTGCTGCTACTGCTCCCGCCCCTCCTGTTCTCCCCACATTCCACACAGCACACAGCACAGGAGGAAAGACCACCACCACCACCCACACGCTCCACTTTGCTTCTCCCAACGCTGCTGGTCGGGCCAGTCAAGAGGGGACAGCAGTACAAGCAGCGGCACAAGCAGCGGCGCAAGCGGCCCCGCAGGCTCAGCAGGGAGAGGGCGTGATGCTGCTGGGGAAGTTTATACCATCGCCCTCCCCGTCCCCGTCCCCTTCCCCTGGTGACTCGCCGCGCAGAAGCCTGAAAAGAGAGGAGTCGTGTCGGGTGGGCAGGGATGAACAGCAGGGGCGGGTGGCGAGGGTAAGGGGGGGAGGTGCGAGGGGGAGTGGGGGCGTGGTGCAGAGGCTGACTGCACAGTTTGATGCACAGGTTGAGGCGGAGGGGGCAGCTGGTGGTGCTGCAGGTGCCACACAGCGTGGTGCTGACTTGAGAGCATCAAAGGACCAGGGCCGCAAGGAGGTCAACTTGAACCTCTCCCTCTAGAACCCTAGTTGTATCTCGGTGCTATGCTCTGTTTAGGAACCGGTTTCTAGTGAAGAGGAGCTAAGATTAGCCAATATTCCTGTTTGAGTTCTTGGAAACACTTAGCATCAAGATGGAGGCTTCATTGTTGAGTGATCAGCTAAGGAATGAAAGAACCTCACAACAACAGGAGTGGAAGCAAGCTATGATATGATGAACCCTCACAACAATGTGTACAAATATCAAAATATCAATACTTAAAATGTCTACAGTACATGTTCACCTATACCTCAATCTCCCCTCTCACGCTGCCCCCCCTGCTCTCCACCTCATCCTCCTCCTCCCCACCACTTCCCTCCCCACTGCTACCGCTGCCACCGCTGGCGCCGCTGCCTTCCATATCAGGCTGCGCCTGAGGCACCTCCAGCATGGATCCGGGTGTTTCCCCCGTGCACTCCGATGCACGCCCCTCCTCACCCGCCGCCACCGCACACGCCTGCAGCTGCCGCACCCACAGCGGGAACTCCACACTCGCTGCAATGGCCGCTGCTGCTGTAGCGCCTGCCACTGCTGAGCCTGGCGCTGCTACGTCAGCTGTGACTGCTGCTGCTGCAGCTTCGGGAGCTCCGGTCTGCCGAACCTGCAGAGGCTCGGCGAGCGGCGAGGTGGTTCGGAATGGTAGCGGGGTCGGCAGGGGCGGTCTAGAAAGGTAGGAGGGACGGGAACGGTGGGGGGTGTCTGGGGAGAGGAGAGGGAAAGGGAGAGCGGTGCAGGGCACGCTGGGGGGAGCGCGGGAGAGTGGCGCATTGCCATGGCGCGCCTGCGCGGGAGGAGCGGACGGGGCAGCAGCGGTTTGCGGAGCAGAGGGATTTCCCAGGCGGCTGGGATGGCTATGGCGACGGCGCACATGGGAGCCGTCCGCTGCCGTCTGCGCCTCGATTGCCTTCCGCTTCTCCCCCACTCGATCCGCGTCGTCCGCATCCGAACAGGGCGACGCGCTCGGATGCGCTGCCTCTTCGCGCGCCCCCAAGCTCCGCCCGTCTTCCGCCATCTCCGCCTTCTCCGCCGCGCACTGCGTTGACTCCACCTCGTATTCTCCGCCGCGTCCGCCTCCGCCGCTTCTTCCGCCGTTTCTACCCGTCGAGCTTCCGCCTCTGCACACCGTCGCAACACTGGAGCCCAGCGCCCGCGCGTGATGCGGCGCCGCGGCGTTACAGTCTACACCGGGAGCCGCGCCTCCAACGGCTAGTTGAGTTGCGTCGTGCGCCGCGAGTGTTGCGGCATCAGCTGCAGCGCGCGCGTTTCCCGCCTCCCTGGCGGCTACCGCCGCGCGCTCCTCGGAGTTTGTATTCTCGCTCGATTGGTAGCCGCTGCCGCTCGCACTCGAGGTGCCTCGCATCGCCGGCACGCGGTGCTTCAGCCCTCCTTGCCGGACGATGAATCTTCTCTTTTTCTGCCCGCGGGCAGCGGCGAAACCAGGGCTGTCCAGCATCTGACGCATCCCGCTCAAAATTCCCAGCCGTTGCTTCCGCCGCCTCTCCTCCACCGCTTCCGCCTCTAACTTCCCCCAGTCTTGCGCTCCGCCGGTCTCCCCAGGTTCCCCGTGCGCCGCTTCCCCGCATTCCCGCGCATCCATCCGTCGGCGCTTGACAGCGCGGAGGCGCTCCTGCCACGTCCAGGGCCAGGCGGAAGGTTCTTCCGCCGGAGGCGGAAGGGAGGTCGTATCCCCCGCAACCAGAACAAGCTGCATCTGCGACGCGGGTAATCCCGAATCGAGCGGGTTCTCCCTTGCTCCTCCCCTGTCCGCGCATGTCTCTCCCGCCCCTCCGGAAGGCGGAGTTACCGCCACTGGCTCGCGGTAAGCGATGCCCTCGCGTCTCGTGCACTGCAAAGGCTGGAACGGACCGAAGGGAAACACTGGAGTGGCAGGCTCGGGCCGAACCAGCTGCAATGGCTGGGACGCGCCAGCTACGGGAGACTCCGCGAGAGAGGCGAGCGGGAGAGGCGGCTGGGCAGGCGGGAGAGAGAGCGGCGACGATTCATCGTGGGGCCGATGTGAAGATCCCGGTGCGCAACGAAGGTCGGCGGACCGGCAGGTATGGGAGACGCAAGGGAGGGGAAAGGGAAGGGGAAGGTCCGTACTGCGCGGATTTGGTGCGGTGGGAACGGCAACGGCGGGTCGGGTGGGTCCGAGCTGAAGGACCTTCCACGTGTCGCTAAAGCTCTTGGATTTGGTGCGATTCCGCGACAGGTTTATCCACGCCATGGATTTGTTCTTAACTTGCTTTTGAGTGTGGAGCTTCGCGTATGGAACGAGGTTATGTCGAGGAAGAATTCAGAGATGGTGTGCGCGATGGCTTAGTCAATGACCGACATCTAACGGTGCTAACACGGTGTGAACATCAACGAGGTGCTAAGACAAAAGAACGGTGAGGAAGTTTTCTTCTGCAGAGCTGTGGTTTGTGTGCAAAGCCAAGTGATCGAACGTCGCCTGGTCGCTGTTCCCCGCCACACCCCACTTTCCGTCAGGTCATATACCTTCGTGGACTGTATCTGGATTCTCTGTAGTGTACCTTCGGGACCCACCCACCCAACCCCCAAAGCAGAACTGCATCGATGAAGCAAGGCGTAGTGACAGACTGCGCTCACGAGTCACCAGCCACAACAATCTTCATTGCCAGAAAGGAGCAGAAGTGTATCTCGCAGGGCTATCGAAAACAAACTGGGCGCTCTATGCAGCAGGCAGCTGTCAAATGAGGCGATGAACTTCCAAGGGGGCATATCCTCACCAGTTATTGAACACGTGTCTAATGTTAACTTTTAGTTGTTGAACCGCGCTAAGAATAAATTTTAGTGGGAGTGACGTTCAATTTACATGGAATCCCCAGCTGGGGTTTGTTCAGGACCAGACCCGCGCTCGTTGTGGTGTCTGTTTCCAGGGAGAACCATATGCTTTGCCCAAAACCGAATTAAATGATTCCATTGCTGCCCTCCGAATCACATGCTCCTCAAGCAATTCCGCAATGGACATGTTTTCACGATTTGCTGAATGCGTGGATAGATTGGAAGCCGTTGTAACAACGATTGGCATCATGATTGGACAATCAACTGCCGTGAGAGCTGCCTACGTGTCGTCAAGAACGGAGGAGCACCAACACGAGTTTGCGATCTTCACAAGGCACGCCTGGCCGATCACATGACCGTCAGTGCGCCAGCGAAGCAAAGCTGGATCCGACGGCTGTGTTTGTTGTCGCTTTAAAACCAGAAGCGCAATCTGTGGCTGCCCCAGCCCACAGGGAAAATATCAGAAGCATGGCTTCTAGATGGCGAGTCTGGTACATTCGTTGTGAGTGGCAGAAACACCGTACGCGTGACAGTTGCAAATCTCGGATCTTTCCGGGACTGGGACCTGACCAATAGTTCGCTATGGAAGCTGTAGAACACTCTTCGCCCATAACAAAAACTCGTGTGGCAATATGGAGGACAAATAAGCACAGCTTCAATATTTCATATTTACAACCATCTCTACAACATACATAGCAAATGTCCCTTGCACAGCATAACTACAGTTTCAGTTCCAAATCCAGGTTGGAACCCTTCATTGTGAATTCATTTTCTGAAGAAGAATTCACATTTGCAGATCTCCCAAAAGTTGAGTTCGCAGCAACCGCAGCAACCAGAGGAGTAGTCCCTCTTGCTGATCCCTCTGGAACTCCAGTCTCAGTCTGCCCCCACTCCACACAAATTCTCTTGGATTCCTGGTGACTTCCCTCCATGAACCTGTTCCAGTCCCTGCCAGACGATGCCAGGTGGCGTGCTGACTCATCGACATCACCTCCCCCATGGTGATCTGTGCTTTTGACAGGCACAGATGTAGCGTGGTGCAGGCGAGGCCCAGAAGTGGACAGCTGGGGATAACTCGAGGACCGAAAATCAGAGGGAGTATGTGAGCTAGCAATGGGATCCGCGGAACCTGGTGGTTGTGCCTGAAACTGATGGATTGGTTGTGGCGGTTGCTGTGCTTGCAGCTGTGCCTGTAACTGCAGCTGTGCCTGTACTTGCATCTGTGCCTGCGCCTGTGCTGCCTGGATGTGGGGGGGAGGGTAGGAAAACGCACTCCCACTGGCAGCTGGTGCTTGGCTGCAGTGCATCGGGTTGAAGAGCGGTGGTGGTGGGTGCATGGAAGGCATTCCTACGAGCCCAGAGGGTAAGTGGTGACCAAGTGGGGACAGTGAAACTGCAGACGCAGCAGCGGGGAGGGCGGGGCGGGAGTGATGACCCCACGAGTGAGCCATGGAAGCGAGGTGGGAGGCACTTGCTGGGTGTGTCTGCATGGCCATGGGCATGGGAAGTGCAGGCAGAGGTAGACCATGGAAACTGCTGCTGCTGGTGGTGGTGGCGCTAGGGGGAATGGCACCAGGGACGTTGCTGCGAGGAGGAGGCGCCATTGCCCAGGGGTTTCCAGGGCCTGCGGATGGGAGCGCAAAGGCGGGAGCAGATGCAGCGGCACTGGCAGCAGCAGCAAAAGCTGCCGATATAGAGAGATGGCTCCCAGCAACAGCAGCAGCGGCAGCAGCAGCAGAAGAATGAGGGAGCAAAGCACCAGCCATGCCTCGTTCCTCTCCACGACACCCCACCCCACTGCCCCCTCCCTGTGCTACGTCGCCTTTCCCTGCTGGTTGCGCCTCCACCGAGTGTGACCTGGCAGGTCTCGTTGAGCACGCAAGGTGGTCCTCGTCCTCAGCTCGCACGGACCCCACCTCCATGGACCCCCGTGTGCCTGCTGGGCTCTGCTTCGACTGCTCTGTCATCGGCTCGTCCGTGCAGCTCCCAGAGTCCCCTGCCTCCGCCGCCGCCGCCGCCGCTGCTTCCGCGGTACTGGGCCTCTGGACGTCCGCTGGTGCGGGTGCAGGGAGATTGTGAGCGGTGGCGGGCGTGGCGAGGGTGAGAGCGAGCGCGGGGTGGGCAGCGGCGGAGGCGGGGGAAAGCGGCACACGGTCGAGAGACACAGTGGAGTTGAGGCTCAGGCGGTGGGTCAGCCCAAGTGGGGCCACGGCAGAAGCGGCATCAGCCGCACCCGTGCCACTGCCAGCAGCCACCTCTGCTGATTCCGCCACCGCCATTCTTCTCTCGTGATCCGTCCGCCTCTGGGGCACCGCTGCAGCAGCGCCGACAGTCCCCTCTTCTCCTGGTGAAGCAGACACAGGCTCGTGCACGTCTCCCTCTGCCGCAGCAGCAGAGGCGGTAGCAGCAGCGCAGTTGGGGAGGCTGAGGGAGCAGGGGCCCGGCGCGCTGTGGTTGTGAGTGCCGTGATACGACACCACCGGCTGCTGAGCTGCACTGGAGGGAGCAGCGCCACACGGCTTGGCGATGCTGCCATCGGCTGTAGTAGCAAGCGATGCTGCAGCAGCTGATGTAGATGGAGTGGAAGCTGTAGCGGCCGGGGCTGTAGCGATGGGGACGTCGACGGTCTTGCGCGCCATGCACCCCATGCTGTGCCGCGCACACCGGAAATACGCCCTGAGAATCGAGGGGCAGGGGGGAGGGAACAGGCAATCAATGGCTGTGAGAGTCGCCATGCGTTGCTCTCTACAATGACAACGTGACTGCGCTGATGATGAGGATGATGAGGGATGGAATGGGGATGGGCGATTCTCAAGAGGGTGTGCTGTGCACTGAGGAGAACGGGGGATGCGATGTGATGGCAAGAAACAAACATGAGGGGCAGAGCGGCAATGCGGATGCAACCACAGTCATGCGGACTGCAGCGTCAGTCTTAACGGAACAACACAGCGCAGCTGCTCGCTCGCCTTCACAATGAGTGAGCAACGACGATGGTAGCGACGAGACGATGCACTGCGTATGTGATCTGACGGGCACTGCAGGGAGGATACCGCGGCAACAATTGCAGCTGCAAGCAACAATGGCGATCGCGACGGCAGGAGCCATGACACAACCAAACGGTAGCCACACCAAGGATAGGCTTTACCCGGTGATGGTTTATGTGGGGCAGGCGGTACCTGGTGATGGCGCGGTCCATGACGCTCTTCTGCCCGTACTTGTGCCAGAAATACCCGTCCGCCGCCACCACCGACCGGCTCCCCGCCTGCGCCACGGGCTTGCGCTTCCTGCGGGGATGCACGGACGGGAGGGAAACTGGATGAGCGAAGAACGTGCGACGATGATCGCGGCAGACGCGCGACGGGAAGTTGCAGGACGTGCGACGAGGGGCTCCCTTGGAGGGAAGTGAAAGCGATCGGAAGATTGGACAGGACACCGACGAAAAATGTGAGAGAGACTGGCTGTTCGAGAAGGGTCGAACAAACTTTGTTGAGCGCTAAATGCGGTACAGCGTGGCTCGTTTAGTAACGTGCTTTGGTACCGGGTAACGGTCGGACATTAAGCGACATTTACTTACTTCGATGCTCCCCGCGTCGAAGTGTTGTTCGGAGCAGCGCTTCCCCCGCCGTCGACTTCAGTCCCGCCGCATTGGCCGCCGTGCAATGCGGCGGTCTCCACGGATGCTCCGGCGACTGATATCGGCGGCGGAGCGACGCCCGAAGGGTGATGATTTTGTCCTACTGGCAGCGGAGCCGCGGGCTTGGCGAAGGCAGACGGAGTCGCGTCGCCGCGGTCGGATTCGAACCGCGAGGCGCCTGGGAGCGACGAACGCGATGGTAAATGCCTCGACAGGAGAGGATCTTGGCCTTTGCTGTGGTTACTGCGTTCGTGCCATGAACGCGGGTCGGTTGTCGGGCTCTGGCCGAAGAGCTGCGAGGTCGATACCATTTGCCCTTGCGCCGACGACGCCGCATTGCTCGCGTCTGGCTTCTCGTTCCCGCCAATGTGATTGTAGTGCGCGTGACTGAAGCGGTCGCTATGCGTTGTCGCGGTGTAAGGAAAGCTTTCTCTCGGCGAGCCGCTGAAAACGTCTATCGTGCAGCTTCCGGCGCGCGTCAGCGCGGAGGACCACGCCGCGGCAGGAGCGTGGATCGCGGCGGATGTGCCGCGATCCGACGCGGATCTTCGAAGCGCGTCGCCGTGAGCAATTTCGCCGCCAGGGGCGGTGAAAGCGCCAGCGCCGGAGCCGGAGAGCGACGCGAACATCAGCGGCGCGGGGCCAGGGCCCCACGAAGGCGACGCGAAGGAGGGGATAAAATTGAGGCTGGACGGCAATTTTACCGCCGCATTAGACGGAGGTAGGGGAACCGCTGGTCGGTTGTCCGGCTTATTAATCCCTTGGTCAGCGTGTGGATACATCACGAATCGCTTATATCCGACAAAGGATTATCAACTACTAGAACACGTAGTACGAGATCGAAAACAGCTAAATTGTATGTCGTGGAGATCACCCTCCTATGACAATGTACGGGAATCACGGTGCAGAATGTGCGATAAAAGCGCGTGATCACGACATTATAAGAATATCCGTTGCTAAGGGATAAAGGAAAATCGTGAGCGAATTAGAGTAGGAGGTACGGTCTCTGAACCCGAGCAGTCAATCCTCGCAACTGGAAAAGAGGACGGAATAACACGACCGAGTCAAGATGGACTCCCCAATGACCGCTCGGTCAGAGCAGAGACGATGCTCATCCACCCATGTGCCTGTGCCTCGCCTCGCCTCCACCTCGACCTCGACCACGCTAATTTCGCTTCGCTTTCCTGTTGGCGCCATGGCTGCTATGGTTGGGAGAGTGCTGCTGAGCTCACTCACCGCATTAGCACCGCCCCGTGCCCAACACCCCCGCAGCTGGCTGCGGGGTGGTCAAATCGAAGCCTCTCTGACTCGACTGGATGGCTTTTGCTCGCCCTTTATGGGCTCCACCGCACTGTACTGTACCTGACCAGGAAAAACGCAGCGGTATGCACGAATGCGGTGGCAGCTGTCTGGCGTATGGGGGGACTTGAACCTCGCCGCTGGTGGTGTGATGCCCACGGGTCTGGATGGAAATGTTTGTTCTTCCCTCCTCGACTCCGGTCAGCTCTCGCATCCGCGACTCCAGCACAATTCTCGTAATCGAAGAATCGGGTGTGGACAGAACACCATCCAAAGCTTGGACGCCAGGAATGGATCCCCCTTCTATCGGCATTGAGGTCCATACTTCTGGTATGCGCTATCTTTGGGGTGCTATTGTCTGGAAGCAGCACTTCTGTCAAACTGACTTCATATACTTAGATTTCTCTGGTTCAACCTCCTAAAGGGCGTCTGGAAGTGATGTTCAGGAATCGGGACGTACTCGAACAACCGTCTAGGTTAGAAGGGAGACCGCAGGAGAACTACAGCTGCTGTCCCCCTTCGGTTGGTGTCTGCATGAAAACACCTTTTAAATGCACTGTTCTTCCCAAACCACCCAGTCAACATAGGTGTTGCGAATTTCCACTGGGCAGTTGGGGACACAACACATTGTTGACAAACAGTGGATCGAAGAAAGGTCGGGTCGGGAAGAGTTTCGGGTGGAAAATGGAAATGTAGTCACCGCCATTTTCAGCAGCATTGTGCCACCGCGTTCGTATGCAGCAAATTGAAAAACAAATTAAAAAAAAAAAAATCTGGTTGGTGCAGTTGTGCTTGTCTTGGCTCACCCGAGTCAGGCGTGGTCGAGTCCAGAGTCCATGCTTGGCTCGAAGCTGGGGGGCATTGCTAGACGCCCCAATGAAGCGAGGCAAGAGAGTACCTGCTCAGCCGAAAAAAAACAACCAGCTGGTTACATTATTTCTTCATCACACCACTTGAACGACACAATTTCAACCTTTACAATGGAATTTACGGAACTGTCGAAAAGGCCTCTACACCCAAAACTAGAGTTTGAAGAGCGTGTGCACAGTGACCGGAAATAACGGTTAGAAGAAACATTGTACACAAGGTCTCCGACAAAAGCTTTGGATCCGAAATTAACAGTGGCCGCGGATATGATATTCATGAACGGTGTTTATCAGAGGCCATCGAGAAATCCGTTTCTACACCAAGATTCACGCCAAGCTGCGCTGGCGTTTTGTAATTGCTTGAGCTGTCGTACAGTAATTAGTGGCGGTGCGGTGGGTAACAAAGTGGACATAGTGTACCAGCCCAGGGGACAGCACCTTAAATGTATACGAAACAAATACACTGGAAACAGTTGAAACCTCCATTTCCACCTTTTATTAGGTACTGCTACATCTCACTCCATCTCATTCTAACAGCCCCATCTCTCTCCTAGTATGTCCACATCAACTGTGGTCCCAGTGCTGCTTTTCTGCATGCCAAGAAAGCAATCACTTTGACACATACTCTCCCCTCAGAATCTGGGTAATTTTGCTTGCACCAAGTGTACGTAAATGCATCAGTTCATGACTCCCTCACCTTCTCGGAGATGGTGTGTGGCTTCTTAACATGGGATGTATCCTGGAGGGAATGACCAGCGCCCCAAATTTATCCTTTTGACTTCTTTTTGGCAGTGGTTCTGACTGCGCTCCACTTTCACAGTCGCCTCCGATTCCTCTGCATCTGAAATTTACGTGTTTCACCCAAACAGCCAAGTCGGTATTAAAATTTACCCAGAGAGAAGAATCTTTCCTTGGCGATTCTCTGCCATCTGGTTCTTGAGCGCAGCAGCAAACTCAGACAGGTCCATTCTATCGCCTGTGAAAGGGGTGACGGTGCCGCTGGCGATGAGATCAAACGCCTCCTTCACCACCGCCTGCCGCTGCTCGTGGCTCAGCGCCTTCAGGAACCGGCCAATCCAGAAGCCATTTAGTGTCACATCCCTGCATTGCGAAGCAGAGAATGAGAAAATCACACACAAAGGGGCTCGTGATGTATGGGACAAGCCGAGCACTGGTCCAGATCAACGTGAACTTCCCCACGAGGGGTTGAACGAGCGCCAGAGCAGAACATTAGCTGGCTGATGAAGGGCAAGCAGCTTCTGGCCTGAGTTGAAACAAGACGAATTAAACCTCACCAACCTGAAGATAAAGTCTCCAATGGAGGCTTTTGAGACGACTAAAAGAATACAATGAAATCAGTTTCGCCCACCTGAAGATGAAGTCCCCAATGGAGGCGGAGAAGGTGGCCCCCGAGGCGCCACCAAAGAGCAGCACGGTGCCGCCCGGCCGCACAGAGGAGAGCACTGCACCCGTGAGATCGCCCGCCACACTCTCCACCGCTGCATGCGCCATTCGCCCGCCCGTTATGGCGCGCACCCTCTCCAATACGCTCTCGTCCGTTGAGCAGATCACCTGTGTGTGAGCATGGGGGTGTGGAGGAGGAAATACATGAAGGTGGGGACGGGGACCTTTGTGTCGACTCAAAGGTCGCCCGCTGCGCTCTCCACAGCTTCATGCGCCATGCGGCCGCCTGTGATGGCGCGCACCCTCTCCGGTACACTCTCCTCTGTTGAGCAAATGACCTGCCCATGTGCGTGTGGGGGTGGGGATGGGGAAGGGGATGGGGATCTGTGAGTCGACTCACACTTCGCCCGCCACGCTCTCCACCGCTGCATGCGCCATGCGGCCCCCCGTGATGGCGCGCACCCTCCAATACACTCTCGCCCGTTGAGCAGATCACCTGCCCGAGTGTGCGTGGGGGTGGGGGGAATGGGGATGGGAATGGGGATGGGGGATGAGGGTACGAATGAGGGAGAGCAGATAAGACACGAGGCAATTGAATGCCCATGCTGCTGATGCTCCACTAGCCTCACCTCATTCACCCATTGCAGCTCCTCCCAACTCTGGACATTCACACCACTCTACCTCCCTTTCTCCCCCCCCCATTGTGTCTCCCCCGTCTCCCCCGCTCTGTCCCCCCTTCCCACATACCCCCAACCCAAGCCCCCCCTCTCCTCGCCGCACCTCATCGCCGCCCAGCGCCCTGAGCTCACCTCATTGCCGCCCAGCGCCCTGAGCTCACCTCATTGCCGCCCAGCGCCCTGAGCTCACCTCATTGCCGCCCAGCGCCCTGAGCTCACCTCATTGCCGCCCAGCGCCCTGAGCTCACCTCATTGCCGCCCAGCGCCCTGAGCTCACCTCATTGCCGCCCAGCGCCCTGAGCTCACCTCATCGCCGCCCAGCGCCTTGAGCTCACCTCATTGCCGCCCAGCGCCCTGAGCTCACCTCATTGCCGCCCAGCGCCCTGAGCTCACCTCATTGCCGCCCAGCGCCCTGAGCTCACCTCATCGCCGCCCAGCGCCCTGAGCTCACCTCATTGCCGCCCAGCGCCCTGAGCTCACCTCATTGCCGCCCAGCGCCCTGAGCTCACCTCATCGCCGCCCAGCGCCCTGAGCTCACCTCATTGCCGCCCAGCGCCCTGAGCTCACCTCATTGCCGCCCAGCGCCCTGAGCTCACCTCATTGCCGCCCAGCGCCCTGAGCTCACCTCATTGCCGCCCAGCGCCCTGAGCTCACCTCATTGCCGCCCAGCGCCCTGAGCTCACCTCATTGCCGCCCAGCGCCCTGAGCTCACCTCATTGCCGCCCAGCGCCCTGAGCTCACCTCATCGCCGCCCAGCGCCTTGAGCTCACCTCATTGCCGCCCAGCGCCCTGAGCTCACCTCATTGCCGCCCAGCGCCCTGAGCTCACCTCATTGCCGCCCAGCGCCCTGAGCTCACCTCATCGCCGCCCAGCGCCCTGAGCTCCGTCGCCTGGGCAGCGCGGCGCACGACGTTGATTGTCCTGATGCCGCGCGCGCGTGCCACCTGGATGAGCATGCGGCCCAGTGTTGATCCCGCCTGCGTCTGCACCAGATACTCGCCTGGGGGGGAGAAGGCGGGCAATGGAGGGAGATGAGGGTGTAAAGGGGATTGGGAATGGGAGGGAAACGGAGTGTGCGGTGGGGACGATGGGAGAGGGGGGAAGGCACTGGCAGTAGAAGGGAAGGGGACGGGTGTGGGTGTTATGTGCGGAAATAAGGGAGGGAGATGGAAATGTGCCGGGAAGAACAGAAAGGAGAGAGAAGCAGGGTGAGGGGACAGGGAGCATGAAGGTGCATGAACACACCCCCCATCATTCCACCCTCCTCCGTCCGTCCCCATCAGTCCGCCCCCCATCAGTCCGCGTCTCACCCTTGGGAACGTCCAATTGGTTCAGCATGCCGAGCACCGTCAGCGGATTCACCGCCAATTGCGCCGCGTCCTCGTCGCGCACTCCCGCGGGCACCGCCGCCACATGCGCCGCGTCCACCGCTACGTACTCCTGCCACGCGCCGCTGCCCGCCTCGAGCGCGCCCAGCGCGAGCAGCGGCACGACGCGCCGCCCCACCGCCAGATCCGGCGCCGATTGCGCTACGGATTCGCCCAGCGCCGCCACGACTCCCATGCCCTCCAGCCCGAGCGTTGCGGGGAGCGCGTTTGCCGGCGCGAATCCCGGGTAGTAGCCCATCGCGCAGAGGCCGTCCGCGGGATTCACGGGCCGAAGCTGCATCCGAACCAAAACCTGGTTCGGGCCGAGGCTAGGGACGGGCTTGTCAGTTACGAGCCGCAGGTTGTCCGCGAGGCGCTTCGGCCCCTCGTATGCGAGCACTGTAGCTGCGCGCTGCGTCGCGGGGATCTCGGCGGCGGATGACGTGACCATCGCGCGATGCGGAATAACTTGCGGCGAGGGGCGGGGACTCCCTGAATTTACTTGCGGCGGCGTGTGCGGGAGAAGCGGCGCGAGAACGGTGAGGGAGAAAGTGCGGCGGGGCGATTCGGCGAGGAAGGGACGAGATGTGGTTAGCAGAGGAGAGAGGGCGAGGGAAGCGAGGGAGGCGAAGCGGGCGGGTGCCTTGGAAAGCATGACCAGGCAGCGGGGGGGGGGCGGCGGAGGGTAGCGCGCCGAGCACGCAGCGCAGATCTGGAGGGGAAATCGCACGCGGAAATCGAGGCTTGCTTGATGCGATTGGGGATGGATGGGAATGCCGAGGGGTGTTTTTGGAATGGAGCGGAGGGGAGGGGCGAATTTCGGTTCCAAATTCCGACGCGGTTTTGTGCAACGCACGTGGAGACGTGTGGCCGTGAGGTGGCACCCACCGCAACTCGGAAACACCCACGCGCGCTTGAGCAATCCTCGGTAACATTCATAAGTTAGTACATCCGACAAAACGAGACTATTATTTCCTGCTACGAGCACCTATCATGTAATCACAGCAGAACTAAATGTGGACACTTGCACTAAAAGCAACACGATTTTCAAGTCACAGCTCACACACATGCTCAATGCGCTATTGCGCCGCCGAGGGGGCGGAGAGCACATCGGCGGACAGGTGTGGGTCTTGGTGGGAATAATACCCTGCCGACAATAAAACACACACGCGGGCTGCTTCACCTGCGCGCGCGCCTCCTCACTGCACGCGGGCGGCCAGTCGGTGGGCAGAGCGGGCGGCTGGGAGGTGCCGGTGGTGCTGGGGTCTGCGAGGGCGAGAATGGCTGGGCTGAGCTGCTTGCGACACAGCTGCTTGCCGGGCGGGCGGATGAGAGATGGGTCCTCCATGGCGTTACGGGAGTACTTTATAAGGAGGATGGCCCAGTAGAGTGCGTGGCCCTGCTTGGTGCATGCCCATCTGGAGTGGGGGTGTAGGGAAGGCAGGATGTGATGGGGAGCAAGGGGGCAGGGGAGAGCAAGGGCATGACAGGATGTGATGGAAGGGATGTGCATGGATTGCAATCAGAGGGATGGGATGGGGAGGATGGCCCAGTAGAGTGCGTGGCCTTGCTTGGAGTGTGCCCATCTGGGGTGGGCGGAAGGGAAGGGCAAGTTCTGAGAGTAAGGGATTGATGGTACTGCATGTGATGGCAGGGATGTGTGTGGATTGCACTTACGATGGGGAAGGGAAGGTCCCTCCATCCACGTGGGGCAGGCAGGGCATAGCGATATGCAGCTACCAACAGCGGTACACACCACTCGAGATGTGCTTTGAAGCGACTCAGAAGCATCGACACATCGGCTTGGCACATTAGCACGCATGACTCACTTGGCGACTTCCCCGCGAGAGCCATGTTGCGCACGTGCTTGTCGTGGTTCTGCTGTACAGGCAAGCACACCTCAACTCCCACTTAGCAAGCAAGGCACGCCCGACTTACTTTGCAACTCTCTTCCCCGCGAGTGCCATGTTGCGCACGTGCTTGTCGTGGTTCTGCGCCCACCGCAGCTTCTCCACCAGATTGTCGAAGTGCCGGTTGGCGGGGATGAAGTTCACATAGGGCTTTAACATTGGAACGAAGAACTCTGAATACGGTGAGTCCTGCCTGATTGCCACCTGCAGTCGTGGGGAAATGTGGTGGGAGGGGAGTGCCGGTTGGCGGGAATGAAGTTGACGTATGGCTTTAACATCGGTACAAAGAACTCCGAGTATGGTGAGTCCTGCCTGATCGCGACCTGCGGAGTGTGCACAAAACGAGGGGACGGAGGGGGTTGAGGGGGAGGAAAGGGAAGAGGTTGGCGGGAATGAAGTTGACGTATGGCTTTAACATCGGTACAAAGAACTCTGAGTATGGTGAGTCCTGCCTGATCGCGACCTGCGGAGTGTGCACAAAACGAGGGGACGGAGGGGGTTGAGGGGGAGGAAAGGGAAGAGGTTGGTGGGAATGAAGTTGACGTATGGCTTTAACATCGGTACAAAGAACTCCGAGTATGGTGAGTCCTGCCTGATCGCGACCTGCGGAGTGTGCACAAAACGAGGGGACGGAGGGGGTTGAGGGGGAGGAAAGGGAAGAGGTTGGTGGGAATGAAGTTGACGTATGGCTTTAACATCGGTACAAAGAACTCCGAGTATGGTGAGTCCTGCCTGATCGCGACCTGCGGAGTGTGCACAAAACGAGGGGACGGAGGGGGTTGAGGGGGAGGAAAGGGAAGAGGTTGGCGGGAATGAAGTTGACGTATGGCTTTAACATCGGTACAAAGAACTCCGAGTATGGTGAGTCCTGCCTGATCGCGACCTGCGGAGTGTGCACAAAACGAGGGGACGGAGGGGGTTGAGGGGGAGGAAAGGGAAGAGGTTGGTGGGAATGAAGTTGACGTATGGCTTTAACATCGGTACAAAGAACTCCGAGTATGGTGAGTCCTGCCTGATCGCGACCTGCGGAGTGTGCACAAAACGAGGGGACGGAGGGGGTTGAGGGGGAGGAAAGGGAAGAGGTTGGCGGGAATGAAGTTGACGTATGGCTTTAACATCGGTACAAAGAACTCCGAGTATGGTGAGTCCTGCCTGATCGCGACCTGCGGAGTGTGCACAAAACGAGGGGACGGAGGGGGTTGAGGGGGAGGAAAGGGAAGAGGTTGGTGGGAATGAAGTTGACGTATGGCTTTAACATCGGTACAAAGAACTCCGAGTATGGTGAGTCCTGCCTGATCGCGACCTGCGGAGTGTGCACAAAACGAGGGGACGGAGGGGGTTGAGGGGGAGGAAAGGGAAGAGGTTGGTGGGAATGAAGTTGACGTATGGCTTTAACATCGGTACAAAGAACTCCGAGTATGGTGAGTCCTGCCTGATCGCGACCCGCGGAGTGTGCACAAAACGAGGGGACGGAGGGGGTTGAGGGGGAGGAAAGGGAAGAGGTTGGTGGGAATGAAGTTGACGTATGGCTTTAACATCGGTACAAAGAACTCCGAGTATGGTGAGTCCTGCCTGATCGCGACCTGCGGAGTGTGCACAAAACGAGGGGACGGAAGGGGTTGAGGGGGAGGAAAGGGAAGAGGTTGGTGGGAATGAAGTTGACGTATGGCTTTAACATCGGTACAAAGAACTCCGAGTATGGTGAGTCCTGCCTGATCGCGACCTGCGGAGTGTGCACAAAACGAGGGGACGGAGGGGGTTGAGGGGGAGGAAAGGGAAGAGGTTGGTGGGAATGAAGTTGACGTAGCAGCGTAGCAGCGAAGCAGCGTAGCAGCGTAGCACCATAACAGCGAAGCAGCGCAACAGAGTAGCAGCGTAGCAACGAAGCATAATAACAGCGTAACAGCGTAACAGCGTATCAACGTATCAGCGTAACAGCGTAACAGCCTAACAGCGTAACAGCGTAACAGCCTAACAGCGTAACAGCGTAACAGCGTAACAGCGTAACAGCGTAACAGCGTAACAGCGTAACAGCGTAACAGCGTAACAGCGTAACAGCGTAACAGCGTAACAGCGTAACAGCCTAACAGCGTAACAGCGTAACAGCCTAACAGCCTAACAGCGTAACAGCGTAACAGCGTAACAGCCTAACAGCGTAACAGCGTAACAGCCTAACAGCATAACAGCGTAACAGCGTAACAGCGTAACAGCATAACAGCGTAACAGCCTAACAGCGTAACAGCCTAACAGCGTAACAGCGTAACAGCGTAACAGCCTAACAGCGTAACAGCGTAACAGCGTAACAACGTAACAGCCTAACAGCGTAACAGCGTAACAGCCTAACAGCGTAACAGCCTAACAGCGTAACAGCCTAACAGCGTAACAGCCTAACAGCGTAACAGCGTAATAGCCCAACAGGGTAATAGGGTAACAGCCTAACAGCCTAACAGCGTAACAGCGTAACAGCGTAACAGCGTAATAGCGTAATAGCATAACAGCCTAACAGCGTAACAGCCTAACAGCATAACAGCCTAACAGCGTAACAGCGTAACAGCGTAACAACCTAACAGCGTAACAGCGTAACAGCGTAACAGCGTAACAACCTAACAGCGTAACAGCGTAACAGCGTAACAGCCTAACAGCGTAACAGCGTAACAGCGTAACAGCGTAACAGCGTAACAGCGTAACAGCGTAACAGCGTAACAGCGTAACAGCGTAACAGCGTAACAGCGTAACAGCGTAACAGCATAACAGAGTAACAAAATAACAGCCTAACAGCGTGACAGCGTAACATCATAACAGCGTAATAGCCTAACAGGGTAACAGCCTAACAGTGTAATAGCCTAACAACGTAACAGGGTAACAGCCTAACAGCAAAACAGCGTAACATCGTAACAGCGTAACAGCGTAACAACATATCAACGTATCAGAGTAACAGCCTAACAGCCTAACAGCGTAACAGCGTAACAGCGTAACAGCGTAACAGCGTAACAGCGTAACAGCCTAACAGCGTAACAGCGTAACAGCGTAACAGCGTAACAGCCTAACAGCGTAACAGCGTAACAGCCTAACAGCGTAACAGCGTAACAGCCTAACAGCGTAACAGCGTAACAGCGTAACAGCCTAACAACGTAACAGCCTAACAGCGTAACAGCGTAACAGCATAACAGCGTAACAGCGTAACAGCCTAACAGCCTAACAGCCTAACAACGTAACAACGTAACAGCGTAACAACCTAACAGCTTAGCAGCCTGACAGCCTGACAGCGCAACAGCGTAACAGCGACACAGCGTAACAGCGTAACAGCATAACAGCGTAACAGCGTAACAGCGTAACAGCATAACAGCGTAACAGCGTAACAGCATAACAGCGTAACAACCTAACACCGTAACATCATAACAGCGTAACAGCGTACAGAGCGTAACAGCGTAACAGCGTAACAGCGTAACAGCATAACAGCGTAACAGCCTAAGAGCATAACAGCGTAACAGCGTAACAGCCTAACAGCCTAACAGGGTAACAGCCTAACAGCGTAACATCATAATAGCATAACAGCGTAACAGCGTAATAGCATAACAGCCTAACAACGTAACAGCCTAACAGCGTAACAGCCTAACAGCGTAACAGCCTAACAGCGTAACAGCGTAACAGCATAACAGCGTAACAGCGTAACAGCGTAACAGCCTAACAGCGTAACAGCCTAACAGCGTAACAGCCTAACAGCGTAACAGCCTAACAGCGTAACAGCGTAACAGCCTAACAGCGTAACAGCGTAACAGCGTAACAGCGTAACGGCGTAACAACCTAACAGCCTAACAACGTAGCAGCGTAACAGCGTAACAGCGTAACAGCCTAACAACGTAACAGCCTAACAGCGTAACAGCCTAACAGCGTAACAGCCTAACAGCGTAACAGCGTAACAGCGTAACAGCCTGACAGCCTAACACCGCCCGCTCATACGCTGCACCGCCCGCTCATACGCTGCACCGCCCGCTCATACGCTGCACCGCCCGCTCATCTCGGCGCCTCAAAAGTCAGCTCACCTGTGCACCAGTGGTGAGGATGGGGCACATCTGGTGGTGGTGTGCACTGCCCGCCACAATGCCATACTTGGAGTGCGCTGGTGGTGAGGGGCATGTACGTGTGGCTCACCTGAGTGTGCGGTTCACTCACCTGTGCTCCAGTGGTGAGGATGGGGCACATCTGGTGGTGGTGCGCACTGCCTGCCACGATGCCATACTTGAAGCGCGCCGGCACCGCCTCCTCCACCGCCGCCCTGCCCTGCATCGCCACTCCGTCCGCCTTCATCCTGTTGAGATAAAGGCGGAGGGGGGAGGGGAGGAGGTTGGAGGGACGAGGGATAGAGGGGAGGGAGGGAGATTTGAAATGACTGGCGCCCTGCCCTGCATTGCCAACCCATCCGCCTTGATCCTGTTGAGAATAAGGGAGAGAGAAGGGAGGAGGGAGGAGGAGGCAGAGAGGATGGGTCAGGAAACCAAGGAGGTCTTCCCAACATCACTCAACGACTGCCGCCCTGCCCTGCATCGCCACTCTGCCCGCTCTCATCCTGCTGTGCTGCATTGCCGGCAATGGAGGGGGGAGAGAGGCATGGGAGCGAGGGGGAGAGAGAATGTGGTGGGCAGGGCAGAGCAGCCAGAGCGGGAGGAACACGATGGGGTGGTGACTTGGATGGGCGAGCAGATTTGGAGCGGATGTGAGTGGGGGCAGCAAGGAAGGAGGCAACAATGATATTGATGATGTAGGTGATATGGATGATGTTAGATGATGTTGCTGTGCCAGGTGTGACTTCAATATAGAGTGGACCCCCATTTTTTTGTAATCCCAACTCTCACTCATCTCTTCCGAACCTCCAGGTGTGACTTCAACAAATAGTAAAGCCTCGCTTGTCTTCCCAAACCTCACTCAACTCTCCAAACCCACGAGCCTCACCTCTTCCGAACCTCCAGGTCCAGCTCTCTGCTCCACCCGTACAGCTTCGCGTCCAGCAGGTCCGGCCGGGCCTCTGACAGCCTGGGGTGCGCAGGATGGGGAGGTTTGGCAGGAGGCATGGGGGCGAGCAAAGGGCAGGGAATGGTGAAGGGCACGCATGGCAGTGAGAAGGCAACGGCCACGGGAATGAGAGAGTGCTGGGTTGGGTGACAGCGGGTATCAGTGGGTCGCAATGGGTGACGTTGGGTGGCGGTGGGTGATAGTGGATTTTTGAGGCTTCACGACGCACCTCTGCAGGCGGATGAGCGGGTTGGCGCGCCAGTTGGGGACGTCCTCCAGAGGCAGGCTGCTGACGGGCCCGCGCAATATGGCCCGACTCTCCTTCTCCTCCCATGGGATCTGCCCGCATGCAGGGAGGGAGGAAAGGCGGGCCAGACGCAGGGAAGGGTGGGGAAGGGGGGGGGAAGGGCGGGGAAGGGGGGGGGAAGGGCGGGGAAGGGCGGGGAAGGGTGGGGAAGGGAGAGGTAGAAGTGAATGCCCGGCAACACACGTGTGCTCATCATGCAAGGGAAGCCCACGGACTGCTGCCCCTCCCCCCCCCACACGCTCACCCCCTCAGGCGACAACCAAGCCCCCTGCCCTGCCCTGCCTGCCACCCCCATCACAGCCAACCCCTGCCCCACTCTCTGCCTGCACCTGTCTCTCCCCACCTCACTACCCCACCCACCTCAGTCTCTGGCGGGGGCGGCAGGTTGATGTTCTCATTCCAGCGGGTCAGGCACAGCAATATCCAAGCTGCCCTCCACGGTGCGCGTTCTCATCACAGGGAAGCCCACCGCGCGCTGCTCTCCCCCACACGCTCGCCCTCAGGCGTCAACCCAAACCCCCTGCCATCCCCCCCACCCCACACACTCATGCAATGCCCCTCTCGCTGCGTGCCCACCCCACTCCCCACCTCAGTCTCTGGTGGTGGCGGCAGGTTGATATTCTCGTTCAAATCGAGGGGGTCAGGCACGGCAATATCAAGGCTGCCCTCGACGGTGCGCGTGCTCATGAGGGGGAAGCCCACGGCGCGCTGCCCTCCCACGTCGTTGTCGTAGCTGATGGGCAGGTCGCACACGTTCAGGAAGAACTCGGCTGCTATTGATGAGAGCTCGAAGCGAGTGACTGCGAGCTGGGAGAAGGACAGGGGGCAGGGAGGGGGTAGGGAGAGAGAGGGACAAGGGGACAGCGGGACGTAGCTGGCGGGCAGGTCGCACACGTTGAGGGAAAACTCGGCTGCTATGGAGGAGAGCTCACAGCGCGTCACTGCGAGCTGGAAGACGCGGAAGAGAGAAAGGCTGGGAGAGGACGGGTACAGGGGCCAGGGTGGGGGAAGAGCATGAGGCAAGATGCACCTGGCAGCGCACCTCATGGCCTTGACTTGACCATCTGGCAAACCACCTGAATGCACCCGAGCGCCTGGCAGCGCACCTGAATCGTTTTGACCATCTGCATGAAGCGCACCTGAAAAGCACCTGACGGCCCACCCACCTGAATGGTTTTGACCATCTGCAGGAAGCGCACCTGAAAAGCACCTGGCTGCCCACCTGAATGGTTTTGACCATTTGGAGGAAGCGCCTGAGGCGGTATGCATTGTCAATGAAGCCGCCCAGGCGGAAGTACACACCCCCCTCCACCACCCTCACGTGCCCCGCACACGACATGAACTGCAAAACACACGAGGGCGGGGGACGCGTGGCGGGGGCAGAGAGTGTTCTTTGAAGCCGGCCGGGCGGCAGTACACCCCCCCTCCACCACTCGCTTATGGCCTGCACACGCCATGAACTGGCGGCGCAGGGAAGGGAGGGTGGGGAGAGTGGGGAGAGTGGGGGGAGATGGGGGAGAGGGGGGAGGAGGGCGGGGGAGAGGAGGACAAGCTTCTGTCCAGTGCCTATGAAGTCCCCCCTACATCCCTTCCTCATCCCCCCTTCCCCGCACCATTCTCCCTTCGTCACCACCCCGTTCCCATTCTCCCTTCGCCATCCCCTTTTTCCCATGAATCCTTCCCTTGCCCCCTCCCCATTCCCCCTTGCCCCCTCCCCGTTCCCCCTTGCCCGATTTCCCTTCCCCATTATTACCCCTCGACCTCCCCTCTTCCTTCTCCGCGCTCTTCCCTCCTTCTCCACCCTATTCCTCCCCTCCCCCTCACCCGGGGGTGCATGGCGATGGAGCGGAGCAGCGAGGGAGACACCATGCCACTCTGCCCCATGCCATTACTGGAAGCAGGAATTTTACTCCACGGCGCGAGGGAGTGGTCCACCATCTCAGCAAACAGCTGCACCACGGCCGTCGACACGTTGAAGCGCTGGACCCATGCCCTTACCCTTTTCCCAACCCCCCATTCCCGACTCCCCCATTCCCGTCCCCCTTTCCCATCCCACCCATCCCCTCCTCCCCCCTTCTCACCCGGGGGCGCATGGCAATCGACCGGAGCAGCGAGGGCGAGACCATGCCGCTCTGCCCCATGCCATTACTGCTCGCAGGAATTTTGCTCCACGGCGCGAGGGAATGGTCCACCATCTCAGCGAACAGCTGCACCACGGCGGTGGACACGTTGATGCGCTGGAACGCGCGCAGGTCGCGCAGGGAGCGCACCAGCCGCTTGCTCAGCCCCGCCTCCGCTAGCGGCTGCAGGGGAGAAGCAACCGCCGCCGCGGGTTCCCCCGACGCGGCTGCTGCTGCTGCTGCCGCGAACACGTTCGGCTGCGCGGAGAGGGTCGGCTCGGGGGCGGCAGGCTCGGGGAGGGTTGGTTGCGGGTCGGGAGTAGGTTCGGCAGGGGTGATAGGGGCGGGGTCGGCGGAGCGGGGCTCGTCTGCGGGCCTGGCGGGGGGGACGTAGGGGGTGGCGGGTTCGTTGTACGACCCCATGTCCCCCGCGCCTGTTCCCCCCGCGCCCAGCGTCTTGGGCTTCCCCCGACCTCGTGGTTTTGCGCTCGCGGCCTCCGCGTCTCCCTCAGTGGCGCCGCTCGCGCCTCCGCCTGCGCGCTTCTTGGCTCCGCCTGCTCCGCCATCTCCGCCCGCTCCGCCAGCGCCTCCCTCCGCGCGCGGCTTGCGCCCCAGCGCGGGCTTAGCGAGGGCGTCCGCGGCTGCGAGATCGACTCGCGCGCGGAAGAGCGACATTCCGGGCGTGTCGTCGAGCTGCTTGCGCCATGGCTGCGCGCAGCGACGAATGTGGGACGCGGGGAATGTGGGAGGGGGGGAATGTAGGAGGGGGGGAATGTGGGAGGGGAGAAATGTGGGGGGGGGGAACGTGGAAAAGGGGGAATGTGGGGAGGGGGAATGAGTGGCAGGTCGATGGAGAGATAGGAATATGGAAAATTACGAATCGACTCAATCGCCATTGCTGCGGGGAAGGGGAGAATGTGCGGGAGAGGGAATGCGGAAGCAGGTAACATGGAGATTAGAATACGGAGAAGGTTGGAGAGTGCGGGAAGGCGGGAACGGGAGGCGGCGAGGATGACGGATGAATTGCTGACGTGGCATGATCCGTGAAACGTGAACGGTTATTCGAGGGAAGAGCGGGAATTGCGGATCAGTGAGGTGATCAGCAGAACGGAAAGAAGCTCGACACGGAGAAACGCGAGATACGACAGCTGACAGAAATGTCGGTCGTCTGTCGGTCATTCGGCAGCCATGACGGTAATGGCAGCAATGACGGAGTAGGGTTCGAGTAATACCTGACGCGACAACACCCGCGCATTGCACAGCCTCCTACGCTGGAATAGCTAGGATTTCTTCGCGAAGAATGGCGAAAGTACAGCGTCCGCTCGCACCAAATACACATTATTGTGCAAGATCGCACAGAATCGTACAAAAGCGCACAAAAGCGCAAGCTAATTCCTGGCGCTGACCTGCGCTTGCAGCAGCCGGCGCTGAGGAACGGTTGCGTGCGATACATGCGACGATGGATGACTAGTCGCCGGGATGCCGTTGGGTGCTGCGACTAACGAATGCGACGGATGCGCGAGGAGCGGAAGGGGGGCGAACGCTAAGACGAGAAAGATTAGCGTCGGAGAGACTGCGCCAAGCGCTCGAGCGGCGAGATCCCGTTTCATGATCGCACGCCGCATGGCGATTAATTTTTTCGAGGTAGCCCGATGGGCTGGGCTTAGGATGACGCCACACAGTGACAGGGTAGAGGGCATATGTACCACTGGAGTAGTTATATAACTGAGTGGGGAAAACATATGGGACCATTGGGAGATGTTTTCTGAGGGAGGCCACTAGTAGCCATAGTTCGCTGGTTGGGTGATGCGCGTGGAAGTGACGTAACAGAAACGTTGACCCATCTTTGCGAAATCTGTAGAAGTTGGTAACTATACATTCAGCCAGCGGCATTTGACGGCAAATGGCGACTTTGGCGAAGGATCCAGCTGATCCACACCGCAATCGCTGCCATCACCACTTGCAGGCTCCCGCGAAAGTCTTGTGCTGTACCGAAATGTAATGTAACAACCTGAAGTGTTCAAGAAAGACTCAGGTGTGAAATGTTTACACTCACACATTATTTTTCGAAATACGCTTCCCCGTAGAGCACATTCTTCGCATACCTCGACGGCGTTATGCAGACAACCTAGCTTCTGTTATACCGCGTACTATCTTTGACGCCACCCCCCATATCTTGCATCCCACGGGTGCATTCCTCAACCGACCAACCACCCAAAGGGGCTCCTTGGTTCTTGCGGCTTGCGGCAAGTCCAGCAGCCAGCCTGTCGCTTGGCACCTAATTAAAAAATCATAAGATTTTATCAAGGTCGAACTGTGACCGCAAACGAGCGAAAATGGCGGAAACCCAAACGAGCCACAGCGTGACCTGGGCACCTCACCTCACCTCACCTCACCTCTCACGCACGGCATATCCCTCCATTCCCCTTCGCCTTCGTCTCTCCTCTCCTCCCAGCCGAGCCTCCCACCTGCCCCACTCCTCCAGCCTGGCTGCATTCTGGTCCCTCCCGCTCTGACCTTTGGTCGCCTTTGGCTGCTCGCGTGCGACACCGCAAGTGAAGTGCGCGAGGTTTATGACGACTCTGTGCGACACACGCGATGCAGGCGACAACGATCAACGCAGTCGTGCTGTCGTTGGCCTGAGGTCTGCCTGCTGCAACTTGAGCTAATAGTCAACCATTCGCCATGGCTCCTATGAATTTCTCCCACTGGTTAGGTTACCGTATTGCGGGGCTTCTTAGCTCGCCGCCAACCAAACACCGCCATAAGCTGGCAGCTTGCATACAGCAACGGTCACCTCACGACCAGCTTGAAATGGAACTCTGCGCTTAGTGATTGGTGTGCACACGCGCTTTGAGCTTGAAACCACAATTGAGGAGCGTGCTGTGCTGCCCCATCATCAAACCTAAGGTCGAGCGAACACGTGTACACGGCATTCTTCGCATTGAATCACTATTGGCTGCCCTCAATCATTCCGCGGCTTAAACGTATGGCGTGCCCGATGCCGCGGCGTCATAGTCGCCGTGCTCACTCGCATCCCGCCACAAGCCCGCCGCTCACGCGCTCTGCCGATGACCAGACGTCTCATTTCCACCCGATGCACCTCGGGTAGTGACCTCGTGACGTAAATTACCTGATTCTAGGACCGATACATCCAGCGGGACCAGGGTGGGCCCTAACAAAGTTGACAACATGCATCATCGTCGCAATCGCAAGGTGGAGCCTTTCATCAGGTGGCACCATTGAACAACGTCTCCCTTTCAACCTCCCACCAGCCCTGCGTCTATCCCTGTCTCTCGTCTCAAGCATATATCGTCCCAGCAGCCCACATGCCTTCAGAAGCGATTACTGGTAGTAAAACTGAAATGTCTGTCACTGATTGCACTCAGCAAACTCACGAATGCCGCTACTGTCCACTGTGACAACAAGCCCACCCAAACGTCTAGCAACCGTTCCCTGACCCTTCATCCCATCCCTTGTTCCGTCAAAACACTCCACCGGCCTTAAGTGACTCTCATCCAATCCGCCTGACTGAAAATGTGGAGGTCGCAGAATTCTAGTAGTGTGACGACGCCAGAGAGCGTCAGCATCGACCTGAAGCATCCTTCTCACGACGTGTGGCCGGATTGTTCTTATTCCGGTACCAAGGGAACGCGCGAGCGCGCCGCGACGCTGTGGGAAGAGCTGCTGACGGCCGCGCCGCCCCGCTCTGGCGCCGAACCAGGGGAGAGCGGCGGGTCCACGTGGAGCGGCTACTTCAACACGCTATCCCTGCGACGGCATGTCTCTGCAGATCTTTTCGTCTGCGAAGCCGCCGCGGACTTTGCCAGCTCGAGGGTACAGCCGCCGCGCTGCGTCTCTGCGGATTATGAGAAGAACTATCCGCAAGAGACATCATCCCCAGCCGTAGTACCACGGCCAATTGGATTTTCCGAAGTTGTTTCTGCGTTGGATCGTCGCGACTCCCCCAACTCGCCCCTCTCTCTCGACCTCTCATACGAGTGTTCCGTGTGTCACGTGCGATTCGCCACGGTGCACGCCTTGGGTGGTCACAAATCGGCGCACAACGTCAGGAAGAGGCCGCAAAGGAGCGCCTTGCATCGAAGCTATCCGCGAAGCCATTCTGATAAAGGGCACACGGCGGGAGATTCGAATCCTGGAAATCGACTTGAAGGGGACGTTGTGCTGCCAGCGGATGCAGCTGCGCGAATCACAACATGCACGAACCAGGCTTTCCCAAGGGAGCGCGAGCCAGCCAGCCAGATGCATCCCTCCCCGTCAGGAATAAGCGACGCTCAGCAGGCGAATAGCTGGGGTTCTAAGGAAGGCAGCGAGCTTGTCAACAACATGGGCAAACGAGCAGCGCTGCTTTCGGAAATACGAGGGTTGCTTCAGCTGAAGCGCCAGCGGTCGTGCGGCAGCCATGAAGAGGAATCTATGGGGGTTGGGGAGAGGGACGTTCTCCGTGTTGGCGGAGGTCACGGCATTCCCGAAGGCTGCGGTGGTGCGGCTGAAGTGGACGTGGTTGACCTCTCCTTGCACCTATAAATTCCATAACTCGATTTTCTAGTGTACAGAAACGTTATTGCACTACACGTACGGCCTTTAACCCCCCAGACTAGGCTTATGCGAACATATAGTTCCATCCTTATTTGGCCATATACATTATTACAGTATCTCAGCCATATAGATCATTTTGAAATAAAAATAACGCCTCATATTGGTGGTTGATACGAAAGCATTGCTGCTGTAAAAATAATGGAGACCTACTCCTACGCTAGTGTGGATCTATGTCAGGAAGTTAGCCTGCAGAATCAGGTTAGCAGGTTAGGCAGCAGAGTGCAACCTCGCTGCAGAAGTGTCAATGCCCTACACAAGTCAATTAGTGGCTCCTGCAATGCTGCATCCATGTACCATCAGTATGGCTTGTATCCTTGCAGTGATTGCTCATGACCGCTGCCTCTCTTGTAGTACACTTGGTACCAATCCACAAACTTTTTCAGGCCCACTTCAAGATCCGTGGATGGGCTATACCTGCAAGACAAAAACAAAAAGCTCAATGTCAGGAAGCAGGCCAGCAATAATCCAGAATAGTCTTTACACAGAACTGCAAGAGTCTGGAGAGCAAGGGACGATGTGTGCACATTCCACTCACCCTAGGTCATTCTTTGCCCTGGTCACATTGGCGTGCGTGAACATCACATCTCCAGTGCTAGGCATTTGGACAACCCTGCAGGAAGCAGCGATTTGGAATGTCAGAGAAACAGAATGACAAAGAAAACCATACATATAGATAACCTGAACAGATGCGAAAACATTGATGGGAAAAGGCAGGAGAATCACTTACTCCCTAATGGCGTTGACCTGCAGGTGCTTCTCCAGGATGCTGACGAAGTCCCCCACCTTAACCGGCTGCGTGTTGCCAAGATTGTACACGCGGAACTGAGCCTTCCGCCTCTTTCCCTTGCTGCCAACGCTCGGCAAGGCGGTGTCCAGGGAGGCCACGCAGCCCTTCACGACGTCGTCAATGAACGTGAAATCGCGAGCCAGCTCCTCTCCCTTGGGCCCGCGGAAGATCTTAATGGGCTTGCCGTCCATAATGTTCCTCGTGAAGGAGAAGTACGCCATGTCCGGGCGACCCCAAGGCCCGTACACCGTGAAGAATCGAAGAGCAGTGATGGAGAGGCCGTAGATGTGGTTGTAGGTGTGTCCCAAGACCTCATCCGCTTTCTGCATAGTACACAGTGACGAAACAGAATTGAACGCAATTGAGATTGATTGATTGCTGGCCATTCGCAGTGGTTGAAATAGCTAACGATAATGCTGTTCGAGAACATTCCGTGCTGTAATACGTAGCCTGCAGTACCTTAGTGGCGGCGTACAAGCTCGCAGGACGGTCAGTCCGATCTTCTTCGGAAAACGGCACTTTAGAGTTCAGCCCGTACACGCTGCTGGACGACGCGTAGACAACTGCAGGCTGTGGATCCGCTTTCTGCGACATTGAAACGGAAGGCGTGAGTTCAACATAAACCACGACAAGAACAGAAGGACGAAGCAAAAAGCAAGCGGCAAAGTAGCCACCTTAATCTCTTCAAGAAGAGTGACGAAGCCGGCGACGTTGCTCTGGACATACGCCAACGGATTGTGAACGGCATAGCGCACACCGGCCTGCAGGCGTCAATGCGAGGTGAAGGTCAGGGATCTAGCTGTAAACTTCAGATATCAAGCTCGCAGAACGATGACGTTAGCGTTTCGGCCTCCCGCTGCGGATCCTACCTGTGCTGCTAAATGAAGGACGTGCGTGAACCTGACGATCTCAAAAAGCTTGGCCAGAAGCCGTTGGTCGTTGATATCGCCCTCCACGATGAACCTGCAAAGGTTCATGTCGGCGCGGATGTAAGCTCACGCGATCACAAAACGGCAAAACTCGAGCTGAAAAGGAAGGTACGCTTACACTCCGTTAGCTAGTAGGCGCTCCTGTCTGGCGCGCTTTAAGGCAACGGGGTAGTAGCTATTAAAGTTGTCAATCCCAACAACGCCGTCGCCTCTCCTCTTCAAAGCAAGCGACGTGTGCGAGCCAACAAATCCTGCTGCTCCGGTCACGAGCACCACCATCCCGCTTCCTCGAGTAGCCGCAGAAGATCTAACCTGATCTTCCCACACAGCTCCGCCCCATGTCGAGGCATCCATGTCGGAGAAAGCGTCTATTGCGCTTTGTCTTTGCCCGCCATGTCTACTGATTCCGAAAGCCCTGAAATAAAAGCACGTGGTGCGTTAGAACACCATCCGACTTGCGCAGAAGGCGATAATTTCTGATGCACAGAACTTACATGACTATAACGAAGACGACGATGGAAGCGGCCTGAATGATAGTCAAGCTCCTGGCGGTCCGCTGAATAAAGGAGTTGCTTCGCAACTTCTCGAAATCATCTACATTTGAGGCTGTCTTGGCCAGAGGCGTCGATGCGAGAAGCTTTGTCGCCATGACAGCGGACCCACTAAGCAGGGCAATCAACAGCGGAAGATCGAGCCGCAAGATAGTGATCACTGGAACAGAGTTGACGCAACTAACTGAGGAGCATATAGTGACTAATCAGCCTTTTATCCTTCACTAGCCTGTATGGTTGCGTGCATGCTCCCAACCCGGTGTCATCTAGGCGTGTGGATGGAGTGGTGGGATGGGCAGAAGGGGCGCTTTTCTCGCAGTCGCCAGGCGCAGGGGCCAGTGTTTCTCGAGGTGCGGTTGGATTGGTTGGAACAGGTAACCACACTGGCGGAGCGGAGCAGCACAAGCAGAATAGGCGGAGAATGTGCAGAGAATGGGGAAGCGCGCAACCAGGAACTGGCGGAACGGAGCAGGGAATGGCGGGGCGGCGGAACGCGGCTTGGGATGTGCTCGTGGCCAGGGGATGGTCCACCAATCCCGAGGTCACCCGTCCAAAACGCGCAGCGGGTTCCTTGTGCGCCAAAACATTTTGGGCTTCACAAAAAATTCCAGGAAACTCCAGGAGCCAAGCCCAAGGAACGGTGGCGCCTTCCACGAGCAAACCTAGGGTGGACTTGGACACGATCTTGTGGGCCTTCCCGTCCGACCGATGAAAACGTCCTCATAATCGCACGGCTAAAACTAGCTCTCGGTGCTGCGACTCGGTCGGCCACATCAAGGCGGGAACCAACCCGGGCGAATAGGAAAGCTCCGTTGATCTTGAAAAACTCCATTCATCACTTGCATAAAAACAGATGGCACATGTATACAGTATTGCATAAACTCATATTGATTTTTTAATAGTGAGTATCTTTCGTTCGTTGTTCGTGCGACTTGTCCCCTACACCACCACACGGCAGCTCCAAGTTGTCGCCAAGCCGAAAATCTCAGTCTCCTCCGTACGATGCGAAAAGGATTGTCGCGAGCCTCCACCAACATTCGACTTGACACACTACACTAGAAGCCCCGTTACACGCTTCAGAGGATTAGATTGAACTTTACTGAACTTTATATATACCGCCGCAAACCATGACCCGCAATAGGGGTATCCGCTGGCCGAAGTATGGTCCGTCCGATTCGCTGGAGCACATCATCATCCAGCCGTCCGCGCTAGGAACAGACGTGTCATAGATATCAACTCCTCAGGCAGCCACTGTCAATCAAGGTTCCTCCCCTGTGGAAAGGAAACCTAGGTTTCCTCGCTGTTCCCAAGGCTCCCCCTTTTCCCCCATCGCAGTCAAGTCTCAAAGCAAGCCAGAGCACCCACACACACACTGTCAACGCCGAACAGAAACCAGCTCTCATGTCTGGACAGAGTAGACTACCGGTACATTAGTGTCCGGACCTTCAACCTTAGTAATCGGAGTTCTGGTCGAGCCGAAAACGGCCTTCAAATAATCGAGCGATTCTTGTGGATTGCCATACAGTTGCCCGGCCCGTTAGCCATGGAGGACGACGACGACTGTTATGGAGGACCCATGCAGCTCGCAGATTCTAGGAATGGGCTCCAGCAAGTGCCAGCCAATCGCAGACGGTCATTCCCTCAGCCAAACCTTTCTCAGTCAAAACCTGCTCTTTCCGACGTGTCACCGCGTAGCCGTCCTCTTAGCAGCAGCAACACCTTTTCTGGCCGGCAATTAGACGGCGCCGAGGCTCGGCGCGCTTTAGGGAAAACAATGTCGGGTTACCAGCCGGGAGGCGGGGTACCTGGCGACGAGTCACAAGTAGGGTTACCACTGTCGCAAGGAGGCCCGCAGCGGGGATTTGTGCGACCACAGCGTGCGACCGGTAACCATCGCAGAGCGATGTCGTTCAGCGGTGGCCAGGCGTCGAGCTCCATAGAATTTTCCCCAGAAGCATTTTCCCGCGAAGGGTTTCAACAGCCGCAGCAGAGATTGCATGCGATGCAGCAGCAGCCATCTTTCCCACAGCAACAGCAGCAGCAGCAACAGCAGCAACAGCAGCCTCCGCCGCAGATGCAGCAGCAGGGACGGTCACCGGTGCGCTCTTCCTCACAAGACGGTGACGGCAGCAGTAGGCCGTTAGTTGCCGGCAGCAGGTCCCCCCAAGGACCTGTTGCGCCGGGCCCGCGCCCCGCTGCTGTGCGTGTGCCCGCAATGCGCGGGGCAGCGGTCGGGGGAAGGGGGAGCTCCGCCGCAGCTTCCGCGATTTCCTATGGCGGCGCTAAAGTTGCGGACGAAGGGGAGGAGGAGGAGGGCGAGGACGAATACGAGGAGGAAGAGAGTCCGCAGCGGGTGGGGCGGCAGGACTCGGTCCGAAGCTCAATCTCCGATACCAGCGCCGACCGCGTGGGCGGAAGGGGCGGGTTACGGCCGCAGCGAATGAAGAACGGACCGGACGGGGGGAGCGCATCCTTGCGCATGCCCCCGCGGCCCCCCGGCGCGAACCCCGCGCCGTATGCGGGGGCGAACCCGCCCGTCGACAGCCCGATGGCCCGCCAGCAGCACCGGCGAGGCGCGTCGTTCGACTCGCGCGTGATTACGGAGTCGTTGAGTGGTCCCCCCTCGTTCCCCTCCCCTTCCTCCTCCTCAGGCGCGGCTCCTTCAGGAGGTCCCTCTTCCCCGCATGTGCTTTCGCAGTCGCGCGCGGCGAATCTGTCCCGCGCGCCGGTCTCCGGTGGTGCGCCGACCAGGGATCCGCGCGCCTCAGCGGGGATCAGCGGCCTTGCGGGGAATGCGGGACGCGCCAGCGGTGGCGATGGTAACGTCGCGGTTAGCAGCGGTGCTAGTAACGCTGGAAGCGGTGCTGGATTCAACGCGAATAGCGGAGGCGGTGGCTTCATGAGGGGTCCGGCCGGGTCGCAGGCAGGGTCGCAGGCTGGGTCGCAATCAGGGGCGCAAGCTGGGTCGCAGGCTAGGTCGCATGGGTCGCAGGCGGGGTCGCAAGCTGGGTCGCGGCCGTGGCACCGTCGCTCGCTGTCGACGCCCGTGGAAGAATTCGCGCCGCAACTATCCTCCCCCACCACCAGGCCGGTTCCGCCTGGCAGAGGGGGAGCAGGGGGTTTGGGGGGGTTGGGGGGAGTCGGGCGAGTAGGGGGAGGGCCAGGCCCCGCGATATCCAGTCGATCTCCGCCCCAGGCGCCCAGCTCTGGTATGGGCGTGGGCATGGGCATGGGCATGGGCATGGGCACGGGCATGGGCATGGGCATGGGCAGATTGGATGCGCGGGCAGCAGCAGGAGCACGGGGGGAAACTCGCGACAGCAGCAACGCGAGTTTCAGCGGGAGCGACGAGGACGAGAGCGAGGGGGAGGATAGCAGTGAGCCGGTAGCAGTTCCAGCAAGGGTTGTGGGAAGGACCTCAGGCGCGAGCGGGGTTGGTCGAGGTGCCCCTGCTGCCCCTGCTGCACCTGCTGCTATGGCGCCTGGCGCCGTTGGCAGCAGTGGCGTTCAAGGGCGGGGCTTGGATGGGGCGTCAGCAGCGCGCGGAAGAGGGCGGGGCAGGGGCATGGAGGGAAGAGGAGAGATGGCGTTCCGGGGCGGCCGCGCGGGAATGGGCGGAGTGGGGGGGATGGGGGGACGGGGGCGCGGGCGCGCGCACCACCGCACGTTTTCTGAGTCCCAGATGGGGTTTCTGCACACCACGGATTTCAGCTCCATGCAGGAGGACGCGGAAGGGGGACAGGCGGAGTGGGGTTCCGCCGCTGGCGCGCAGGGGGGTGGGGGAATGCCAGGGGGGACGGGCGGAGGCAGGGGCGCGGCAGGGGGGAGAGTACTAGGGGGAGCACCGGGGAAATCGCGGTTTCTGAGCGTGCAGGAGACGAGACGAGGGGAAGGTGCGCTTAGCAGGCTGGGAGGGGGTATTGGAGGGAGCGTGAGGGAAGTGCGTGATTATAACGAGGGGTCGGAATGGATGGGCGGGGATCCGAGACGGCCGGTGGCGTTAGCGGAAGGGAGTGGGGTGCGGAACGGTGGGGGGCGGGGAGCCAGGGCGGAGGAGTATGGAAGAGATGGAGGGGGCGGCGGTGATGGTAGTATGAGTGGTGCTGGTGGTGATGATTTTGATGAGGATGATGATGGGATGAGAGACAGGGTAGATGCTCTGTATGAAGACCTGGATAGGTTGAGACGGGGGGCAGGTGGGGGGAGGGATGGGTGCGAGAGTGAGGAGGAAGCTGAGGAGGAGGAGGGGAGGGGAGCAGACGGGGAGAGAGGGCGGGAGTGGGAGCGCAGGAGAGGAGGGGGCAGCAGGGACGCGAGTCCCGGTAGCTTGCGGTCGCGAGGCAGTGAGAGTGGAAGTGGGAGTGATGGGGAGCACAGCAGAGTGAGCTTCAGTGGGAGCGAGGAGGGCGAGAGGGAGAGGCGCAATAGCAGTGGCAATGGCGTGCACAGGGAAGGGTCAGTGCCTGTGGCAATGGCGGCAAGAGGAGCAGGGGGAGGGAGAGGTGGCGGGACGGCAGGAGGAATGGGAATGGGCAGCAGTGGGCGGGGAGGAAGCATGGGGAGAGGGGTGGGAGGAGGGAGAGCAGGAGGAGTGGGAACAGGCAGTGGGAGCGGGGCTGCAGCAGCAGGTATGGGTGGGGCGCCGAGCCTGGGTGGTAGGGGCGGGAGAGGTCCGGGCGTGGTTCGTGGCATGGCTGGTGGCATGGCGCGGGGCGGCATGGGCGGCAGAGGGGGCATGGGCGGGCGGCACAGGCGCACTAGCTCGGAGTCTCAGGCAGCAGCAGCTTTCTACAGCGCCCCTGGAGATGACTTCTTCTGGAGCGGTGGGGGTGACACGGGTGCGCCCCCTGTGAGGCAGGGCGGGCCGCGGGCACTGGGGCAACCGGGGCAGGGGTCTGGGCAAGGGCAGCAGGGCGTGGGGTCTGGACGGAGTTTGCAGAGAGTCGGGGGAGAGGCGGGGAGGGGAGGAGGCGACGTGGGGAGGGGGAGGATGCAGGGTGCAGGTGGGCGTGGTGGCGCTGCTGGTACTGGTGCCAGTGGGAGGGTTGCGGTTGGGCCAGGTGGGAGAGGGCAGGGTGGGGTGGGGAGAGGTGCAGGGAGTGTTGGCAGGGGTGGTGGCAGCTCTGTGAGAGCCCAGCAGCAGCAGCGACAGCAGAAGGGGCAGCCGGAGCAAGAGCAGGAGCAGGGGCAAGGGCAGTGGGGGGAGCAGGCGGAGGAGTGTGAGCCACCGGAGCTGTCTAGGGAGCTGACGTTCCGAGTGAACCTGGAGCAGCCGGTGATTGAGAAAGAACCCGCACTGGAGCGCGAACTCACCTTCCGCATGGGCGCCAGTTGATGCCCCCCTGATGGGCTCATGGGGGCACCTAATGGATTTAGAGTGAGCCTGGCCTGGAGGGGAGAGAACCCGCGCTGGAGTGCGAACTCACCTTCTGCTTGGGCGTCAGTTGATTGCCCACCTGATGGGCTCATGGGGGCACCTATTGGATTTAGAGTGAGCCTGGCCTGGAGGGGAGAGAACCCGCGCTGGAGTGCGAACTCACCTTCTGCTTGGGCGTCAGTTGATTGCCCACCTGATGGGCGCATGAGGGGCACCTGATGGGCGCATGAGGGGCACCTGATGGGCGCATGAGGGCACCTGATGGGCGCATGAGGGGCACCTGATGGGCACATGAGGGGCACCTGATGAGTTTAGTTTAGAGTGCACCTGGAAGAGCCGTGCTGAAGAAAGAATTCGCGCTGGGGTGAGAACTCACCTTCCGCTTGGGCGTCACCTGATAGGGTGGCGCCTCCTGATGGGGTCATGTCTCACAGGGGGGACATGATGGGGTCACATTTTCACGTTCTGCCTGAGGCCCACCTAGTGAGCTCCTGTCAGCGAAGCAGGGAGAGAGAGGGCGTATGGCAGGCGATGCACACAACCGGTAGTTCCAGTTTCTGATGCCCAGTGCCCACCCACCTGTTGTGCTGCCCATGCGCGTGCTTGAATGGAAGCCCATGTTTCATGCGGTTGGGACAGACAGTCTTGTCATGGTGTGGAAGGTACGGTGCTGTAGTTTGCCTGTAGCTTATTCGATTGTTTGCAGTATTTATGTAACTCGTGATGCAATGCAGAAGGATAAGACCAAAGCATGAGCTGCTTGTTTTATTTCTGGCATCGTGCTCGTACCGGTGTCCAATAACAGAAGGAACTCAAGAAGAGAACCTAAACAAACCCAATAGCGGTGCTCGTTGTTGAATGATTTTCCATACGCTTATAGGGATTCATGCGCTTTCTAAGCATTTGGCGGCAAAAACAGCCGAAATCGTCGGCGCCGAACTTTTCTTCGCGCAAGATCCAGGCCGAAAATGCTCTAGTAGATGTAATTGAACATGGGCCACTCGAATATGCATTAACATTCAGGTTCTTGAATGATTTTCCATGCACCAAAAGGCATGCATGCGCTTTCTAGACATTTGGCGGAAAAAAAAAAAAGCCGAAATCGTCGCAAGATCCAGGCCGAAAATGCTCTGGTATATGTAATTGAACATGGGCCACTCGAATAACCATTAACATTTAGGTTCTTGAATGATTTTCCCTACGCCTATAGGGATTCATGCGCTTTCTAGGCATTTGGCGGCGAAAACAACCGAAATCGTCGGCGCCGAACTTTTCTTCGCGCAAGATCCAGGCCAAAAATGCTCTAGTAGATGTAGTTGAAGATGGGCCACTCGAATAACCATTAAAATTCAGGTTATTGAATGATTTTCCATACACCTACAGGCATTCATGCGCTTTCTTGGCATTCGGCGGCAAAAACAGCAGAAATGGTCAACGCCGAACTTTTCTTCGCGCAAGATCCAGGCCAAAAATGCTTTAGTAGATATAATTAAGCATGGGCCACTCGAATATCTATTAACATTCAGGTTCTTGATTGATTTTCCATACACCTATAGGGATTCATGCGCTTTCTATACATTTGGCGGCAAAAACGACCGAAATCGTTGCCGCCGAACTTTTCTTCGCGCAAGATCCAGGCCGAAAATGCTCTAGTAGATGTAATTGAACATGGGCCACTTGAATATGCATTAACATTCAGGTTCTTGAATAATTTTCCATCGCTTTCTAGGCATTTGGCGGCAAAAACAGCCGAAATCGTCGGCGCCGAACTTTTCTTCGCGCAAGATCCAGGCCGAATATGCTCTAGTAGATGTAATTGAACATGGGCCAGTCGAATTACCATTAACATTCAGGTTCTTGAATGATTTTCCATACACCTCTAGGCATTCATGCGCTTTGGCGGCAAAAACAGCCGAAATCATCGGCACAGAACTTTTCTTCGCGCAAGATCCAGGCAGAAAATGCTCTAGTAAATGTAATTGAACATGAGCCATTCGAATTACCATTAACATTCAGGTTCTTGAATGATTTTCCACACACCTATAGAAATTCATGCGCTTTCTAGGCATTTGGCGGCAAAAACAGCCGAAATCGTCGGCGCTGAACTTCACTTATCGCGCAAGATCCAGGCCGAAAATGCTCTAGTAGATGTAATTGAACATGGGCCACTCGAATAACCATTAACATTCAGGTTCTTGAATGATTTTCCATACACCTATAGACATTCATGCGTTTTTAGGCATTCGGCAGCAAAAACAGCCGAAATCGTCGGCGCCGAACTTTTCTTCGCGCAAGATCCAGGCCGAAAATGCTCTAGTAGATGTAATTGAACATGGGCCACTCGAATAACCATTAACATTCAGGTTCTTGAATGATTTTCCATACACCTATAGGCATTCATGCGCTTTCTAAGCATTTGGCAGCAAAAACAGCCGAAATCGTCGGCGCCGAACTTTTCTTCGCGCAAGATGTAGGACGAATATACTCTAGTAGATGTAATGGAACATGGGCCACCCGAATATCCATTAACATATAGGTTCTTGAATGATTTTCCATACACCTATAGGGATTCATGCGCTTTCTAGGCATTGGGCGGCAAAAACAGTTGAAATCGTCGGCGCCGAACTTTTCTTCGCGCAAGATCCAGGCCGAAAATGCTCTAGTAGATGTAATTGAACATGGGCCACTCGAATAACCATTAACATTCAGGTTCTTGAATGATTTTCCATACACCTATAGGCATCCATGCGCTTTCTAGGCATTTGGCGGCAAAAACAGCCGAAATCGTCGGCGCCGAACTTTTCTTCGCGCAAGATCCAGGCCGAAAATGCTCTTGTATATGTGATTGAACATGGGCCACTCGAATAACCATTAACATTCAGGTTCTTGAATGATTTTCCATACACCTATAGGCATCCATGCGCTTTCTAGGCATTTGGCGGCAAAAACAGCCGAAATCGTCGGCGCCGAACTTTTCTTCGCGCAAGATCCAGGCCGAAAATGCTCTAGTAGATGTAATTGAACCTGGACCACTCGAATAACCATTAACATTCAGGTTCTTGAATGATTTTCCATACACCTATAGGCATTCATGCGCTTTCTAGGCATTGGGCGGCAAAAACAGCCGAAATCGTCGGCGCCGAACTTTTCTTCGCGCAAGATCCAGGCCGAAAATGCTCTAGTAGATGTAATTGAGCACGGGCTACTCGAATAACCATTAACATTCAGGTTCTTGAATGATTTTCCATACACCTATAGGCATTCATGCGCTTTCTAGGCATTTGGCGGCAAAAACACCCGAAATCGTCGGCGCCGAACTTTTCTTCGCGCAAGATCTAGGACGAATATGCTCTAGTAGATGTAATTGAACATGGGCCACTCGAATATCCATTAACATTTAGATTCTTGAATGATTTTCCATACACCTATAGGCATTCATGCGCTTTCTAGGCATTGGGCGGCAAAAACAGCCGAAATCGTCGGCGCCGAACTTTTCTTCGCGCAAGATCCAGGCCGAAAATGCTCTAGTAGATGTAATTGAACATGGGCCACTCGAATAACCATTAACATTCAGGTTCTTGAATGATTTTCCATACACCTATAGGCATTCATGCGCTTTCTAGGCATTCGGCGGCAAAAACAGCCGAAATCGTCGGCGCCGAACTTTTCTTCGCGCAAGATCCAGGCCGAAAATGCTCTAGTAGATGTAATTGAACATGGGCCACTCGAATAACCATTAACATTCAGGTTCTTGAATGATTTTCCATACACCTATAGGCATTCATGCGCTTTCTAGGCATTTCGCGGCAGAAACAACCGAAATCGTAGGCACCGAACTTTTCTTCGCGCAAGATGTAGGACGAATATACTCTAGTAGATGTAATGGAACATGGGCCACCCGAATATCCATTAACATATAGGTTCTTGAATGATTTTCCATACACCTATAGGGATTCATGCGCTTTCTAGGCATTGGGCGGCAAAAACAGCCGAAATCGTCGGCGCCGAACTTTTCTTCGCGCAAGATCCAGGCCGAAAATGCTCTAGTAGATGTAATTGAACATGGGCCACTCGAATAACCATTAACATTCAGGTTCTTGAATGATTTTCCATACACCTATAGGCATCCATGCGCTTTCTAGGCATTTGGCGGCAAAAACAGCCGAAATCGTCGGCGCCGAACTTTTCTTCGCGCAAGATCCAGGCCGAAAATGCTCTTGTATATGTAATTGAACATGGGCCACTCGAATAACCATTAACATTCAGGTTCTTGAATGATTTTCCATACACCTATAGGCATTCATGCGCTTTCTAGGCATTTGGCGGCAAAAACAGCCGAAATCGTCGGCGCCGAACTTTTCTTCGCGCAAGATCCAGGCCGAAAATGCTCTAGTAGATGTAATTGAACATGGGCCACTCGAATAACCATTAACATTCAGGTTCTTGAATAATTTTCCAAACACCTATAGGCATTTATGCGCTTTCTAGGCACTGGCCGGCAAAAACAGCCGAAATCGTCGGCGCCGAACTTTTCTTCGCGCAAGATCCAGGCCGAAAATGCTCTAGTAGATGTAATTGAACATGGGCCACTCGAATAACCATTAACATTCAGGTTCTTGAATGATTTTCCATACACCTATAGGCATTCATGCGCTTTCTAGGCATTCGGCGGCAAAAACTGCCGAAATCATCGCCGCCGAACTTGTATTCGCGCAAGATCCAGGCCGAAAATGCTCTAGTAGATGTAATTGAACATGGGCCACTCGAATAACCATTAACATTCAGGTTCTTGAATGATTTTCCATACACCTATAGGCATTCATGCGCTTTCTAGGCATTCGGCGGCAAAAACAGCCGAAATCGTCGCCGCCGAACTTGTATTCGCGCAAGATCCAGGCCGAAAATGCTCTAGTAGATGTAATTGAACATGGGCCACTCGAATATGCATTAACATTCAG